ACTCAAAGAAAATACTCTTTAATTATTGGTGAAAGGTTAGCTATGGATGAAGGCCAAACATTAAAGTCTAAGTTCTAGAGGATTTTAGACATGGTGGGTATCAGTGATTTGAGTGGAATGACAGAGTTTAGTAATGCTTCTAATTCTCAAGATACTATGCATGGTATGTTTAATTTCTTACTTAATATACGGCAAGGGTTTGGCAAAATGAAGTAAAAATAAATTAATGTTGGGTAAGGATTAAATAGGAAAAAAAAGAGAACAAAATTGATTAAAAAGTATTAAAAAGAAAAATGTGTAAGTGGAGAAAAGGGGAATAGGAAAATCAGCTCCCTAGATTAAACTCAAACCTTTTTTTATTTATTGATAAACTCAAACTTTTTTGAAATAACATTGAACTAAGTTTATACTCAAAATATATTTTTTAATATATACTAGCCCCTTGGCACACGCTCATGCGTGTGCCAATTGATTTTGTTTTTTTGTTTTTTTAATTATTGTAAGAAACACCGAAAGCTATGGTTTGGGGTCCCAAGGAATAAGCAAGAGGGCAGGAAATGTAATTGAGAATCACTTTGACCCATGTTGCAATTGTGTGTGTGTATATAATTTTTTTTTTTTTTTTTTTTTTTTTTAATTATCTTTAATTAGTTTATTACATTGCTTTTTACCGGCTAAGATAGCAACGGTCAACCCCATAGACTTCAAGTCAAATTTGCAAATTCAAATAGGTTATGTTATGTGTACTACAGCTAAAGATATCATGGACTGACCTTAATCAAGTTTACCTACCTTGACCATTAATATCTCAATTCTCAATTCTCAATTCTCAAGTGGCTCTTTGAAAGAAAACAACCGTCTGTGTCATTAGACTAAATAATCATCGACGTATTACGAAAATTTATACGTGAAGGAAAAAATAGGAGCCAACCACAGCTTAAATATCGCTTTAACTTTTAAAATTGTAATCACACACAGGGCAAAGGTTAGGTTCTTAGATGTTTTTCATTTGAGTGCAGGGTGCAGTGATCAGATTTGTTGGTGCACTGCACTGACACATAAGCTGAACGAGGATATAAGAAAGAGAATAAAAGAATATACTCTTTAATGTTTTTACCATCAAGATTTAACTATTTTGATGACGTGAGGGAATGACTGCAGGTGAAATTGTGCGGTTAAAGCCTTTGATATTTATGCTTACTTTTACTTTTAACCGAATACCATTATTGTAGGAATTTTGCCCATTTATGACTTAGAAAAGTTACTTATTGATAGTCCACCCAGATTAGCATCATTTCATGCATAAATAGTTTTTACCCTTACAGAGCTTACCAAATAAAAATGTCAAAGTAAAATGATTTGCACAAGTCTTCCGTCACACCCTCAATCAACAGTTCATAGAGAGAGATTAATTACACTTTTGCAAAGCCGTCCAATGGGTGAATGCTCTCTAAAAGCGAACTACTTCATTATTTAGAGAAAGCAACACTTTATAAAAGGCCTCCCGTACACAGAAAAAACTTATGTTATCTCATATTTTATACATTTTTAATCTATTTTTCTCATCATGCGATGAGAGACGGGACGGTCTCAAGATAAGGGCAACCTGCCCAAGTAAGATTTTTTTTTCCCCCTATAGTTAGTGTATAGGTTTAAAGCTTAGTCCAATCCAAAATCTAACCTCCAGCCTTAAAAGAAATCTAGCCCAACTCATTTTAACATTCTGGATCCGTAAAGAGAAAGGTGAATGAAATATATCACCATAGAGCGGGAAATTAAACCTCGACTTCCAGTTGATTTGAGTTGCACACCCGTTGAGAGTATAAATGCATTTCTCAAAGTGTATATATATAATTTACTAATGAAACTATATATGAAACCGACTACATGCATCTTTTATAAACTTGCACTAAACATATGCATGGTTCACTTATGAAGTAATGTTTCTTGATCGCGTAAACATATTCTTACAAATGCACTGACAAGAAAGGGGGAAAAAACTTTAACATAAATTTATCTTATCTAGCAAGGATTCCATATCTATGAATCTTGCTTTATTGTATTGAGCAAATCTTGTATACGTACATACTTAGATACAATCGTATAACTAAGATCTTAATTAAGATTTCTGTAATCATACTAATTTTTAAAGTAATTCTCATCAATGATTATTGGCTCCTAAGTTCTTAGTGAAATTCCAACTCAACAAAAAAATATCAAGGGCCAAAATGAGTTTTACAACGGATCATCATGAACTGTGACAGACTTAATTAATTTTAAAGATGGGATTAGACAGTAAATGTTTCTAGAAACTTGGTTAATTAAAATTCCCTTCCAACGAAGAAAAGACAAAGCAAAGATTAGTTAAAAAATTAGGGCTTTGAACCCCACATCATGCCCTGAATTTGATCCTAATCTTTTTTGAAATGACACCCGGCCTTAAATAAAGAAAGAAAACAAAGCAAAGGGTTAATAGAATAAGGAACCCACATGAGCAGATCTTTCTAGCTTTAAGCACGTACATTCTTAGCTGTTAAACAAGTTCAATTGATCTCACTTTTCTTGATTATCCGTACTAAACCCGGATTAGTGTTGTCTGGAAATAATTAATCAGGGAAAATCTGATTTGATATTGTGACTAAGAAACGTATCAACATTTCATGCATTTTAAGGTTGGTGGCTGAAATAAATAAATAATAAAAATTAGTCTCTATACACGCGCTTCGGCGCATGCAGAAGGTTTTTATTTTTAAATTTAAATTTATTTTAGAATTAAAAAAAATAATGAGTAGTTATCTTAATATTTGTATTAACTAAAGACATTTTCTGGTATATGAAATGTTTTACAATTCTTTGCATTTTGCAATATATATAAATAAGATTTTATGATGGTGGTAAAGGCAAATAATATAGAGTAATAGTAATCTCTTTCTGATTGTCTTTGTTTATGGAAAATAAAAGCAACAAGCATGGACGGTAAACAAATAGCATTAATAATCAAATTAAAATGCATGTATATATAATTTTTTTGCTAAGATTTCAAGAAACTAACAAGTAACAAATCCTTATCCTGAGTTATTATATCAATATGTCACCTCGTGTAACGAATATAGGGGAATTATTAAGGGCCAGTTTGGTATTGCTGTGTTGTGAAAATTATTGCTATCAGATTTGCTATGAGAGAAAGCAGTTTGGCGTTTGGTAAAATTTTTGTGAAAAGTATTGTTGGTATTGATTTTATGCATAATTAAAAAAATGATTGCCGCATAATCATTAAACCCAGCACCTCTTCAAAATTGATTCATGCATAATCAGAAAATGAAAGCACCTCATTATCTGCTTTCTCTTATAGTTTTCTCTCATATCAATTTTTAACAATAAGTGATTTTCTCACAGTTTACCAAACTGGTTGAGTTCCTCAAAATTTAAAAAAAATCACTTATCACCCTAAATAAGCAATGCCAAATTGGCACTAAGTGATTTTTTTGATACCTTAACTTGACAGTGTGTGTGAGAGAAAATTCTCTTCTTCAATATTGCTTATTTTATAAAAAAAATTTGAGTGATAACGTTTCCCCACGAATATATAAACCTAATAAGTTTCCCCAAAAATAATTCAAATTCGACGGAATTTGTCCCAAAATCTATCAACTTATATATGGACAGATCATCATCAGTTTTTCACACCATCAGCCTCACCCAGAAAGCATTACAAGTTCACAACATAAAAAATCCACGCCGCGTGGGTCCATAAAGCATCATCATACCAAAAATATCATAGAAAATAATAAAAGGCAACACGTGTCCCTTTGTGACGTTCCAGAACCATCAATGTCCTGAGAATTATAGTGCCCCAGTGCCCAAAATGGCATCACCAAATTATATTTAATTCATGTGCAATGGTGATTCCTTGGAGCAATCTCCTTAAGAAGTAAGCAAATCCAACACCTGGAAAAAACCCATTGGTCTTGTGGTAATTTTCAACTTGAAAAACTCCCCCACCCACTAATTTTGTGATTATAAAATGTTTTAGACTATGCTTAGTAAGCTATGGAGCTACTAATCCTTCTTGTCCAAAGGCATACGTGGCCTCAATCCATGGGAGCCCTACTTTATCTCTTGTCTCACTTTAGCATCAAGACAACTTAAGCTGATGGATTTAGATCCTTCCTTGATTATGTCAGGCAGTAGAATAGCATGTTTTCGGATTCCTAAAACGCCCTTGTGTGAGCCAAACATTTTCATCTGCTTGACTGAATCATTGCAGCCACATGATTGCTTTAATATTTGAGTGTTGATCATGTTGATGTTAAATCACACCTCAAAGGTGAGGGCACAAAGATGGCACATAAAGATTTTTCTACTGTGCGCATTTAATGAGTAAGCGAGTTTATCATTCTCTAGAAAGGTCAATCACAATTCATTAGATTCTATTCTCGTTAAATGAGCATTCGAATCAATAACGCACCTATAAAGTGATTAATTAAAGGCACAAAACCATTTCAGACAAATTATAAATGGAAAAAGAGTGTGGCAGGGTGCTTTTCTCATTACAATTTTGATGTGATCAACTACTCTTGGTCTAGTGGTAGACGTCTTGTATTCGGAACCTCATTTCTAGTTGATATAGAGGAAAAAAAAATAAAGTCAATGAGGTATAGTCTAATAGAAAGGGCCTTGATTTTCATACCAGTGGTCTTAGGTTTCAACCTTATGACACTTTGACAGTGTATATGGAAAAAACTCCCCTCCTCGATACCGCTTGTAAATAATAATAAAAAATTGATGATGGTATTTGTGAGAGATCAGATCACCGTACCTCAAACAGTGGAAAGTATAGGAAGGATTTGAAAATGACGGTTGACTGATGGAACAAAAGTATGGGCTATGGTGCAGATGTATAAATATGCAACAAGCACTAGCCAAAATGCCACAGGATTTGGAAGACAAACTTTAGGTAGCATACCTAAGCACAACACAAAATAAAGTTGTGCTTTCACATGTATTTGGGGGTGATGGCAGGTCATCAAATGGGTTGGGGTATAATAGAAGAGGAGGGCTGGAGAAAGGGTCCTTGGACTGCTGAGGAAGATAGGTTGCTTATAGAATATGTAAGGCTTCATGGTGAAGGCAGATGGAATTCTGTTGCTAGGCTTGCAGGTAACATATATATATAGATGCAACTTCACTCTCTTAATCTCAGCTCAAATTTTAATATGCATAGAATTTTACCCTTTTTTATTGTTAATAATTTTTACTGCCAATGGCCATTTTTCTTGTGCGGAAATTGAAAAAATGTTTGGTTTCTGTTTTTTTTTTGTAGGACTGAAAAGGAATGGAAAGAGCTGCAGATTGAGGTGGGTGAATTATCTGAGGCCAGACCTTAAGAGGGGGCAGATAACTCCTAATGAAGAGAGCATAATTGTAGAGCTACATGCTAGGTGGGGGAACAGGTAAATATTTTTATATACTTTTTGGTTCTTTTTTTGTTTGAGGTTATTTGGTAATATACCAAATTTCTGTGGTGAACAAATTCAGATGGTCAACAATTGCAAGAAGCTTGCCTGGTAGGACTGACAATGAGATCAAGAACTACTGGAGAACCCATTTCAAGAAGAAGGCAAAAGTGCCTTCTGATGCCTCCGAGAAGGCGAAAACTCGTCTACTAAGGAGGCAGCAGTTTCACCACCAGCAGCAACAGCAGCAGCAGCAGCAGCAGCAACAACAACAACAACAGCAATTGCAGCTGATTAATCAAGCAGAGGTGAAAAGAATCATGGCCTTATTGGATGAAAACGACAATAACAAAATCTCATCCTGGCCTCAAGTGAAGCAAGACATGGACACTTCTTCTGCTGCATACCCTCACAACACAGCTGATCATCAGGAGCAAGGCTTCTATTCAATGCTCAATGGCAATGTGTATGTGCCTGAAGCCTCCAGTGAGGACAGTTTTCTGTGGGATGGTTTGTGGAACTTGGATGATGTCCATGGAAATTTTGGCACAGCAGCAGGCAAAGCTAGCTTCCACAACTTGGTGGTTCCTTTCTGTTAATTAAAATTCGGGCAGCTTTTGATTTTGTTTGGTGTAATATTTACTAGCTTGTATCACCAAAATGATCCAAGGCTCTCTCTCTCTCAAAGTGGAGTGGAATTTGGGTTGCAAAAGATATGCAATCCAGGCTTAATTAGCTATTTATTTTCCAATAAATTGTCGACCGCTTTAATTTGTATGAGAATTGTAATCAATGGAAAGTTGTTCTTGGAAATCAAAATTTCATGTTAGTTTTGAAGCATAGACTTGCATATTTTTCATACAGGTTTCACTGTCTCTTCTCTCTCTTCTTTTCTGTCTTGATCAGGATGAAAACTGATAGTAGTTGTCATTTGTACTTCGAGAAACATGAAAGCATACATGATTAGTTACTTAGATTAACTTATGTCAAGCTTTTAGTGACATCCTTGTCGTCACTTTACTCTTTTTTATGATATGGTTTTAAATAATGGATTAAGGGAATGCATGCAATCAATATTGTAATCATTAAAAATGGAGGGAGATTTCACTAAAAAATAAAAAAAAAAAAAAAAAAAAAAAAAAAAAAAAAAAAAATCTCCGATGGAAAAATGCAATCCTATTGTTTTCTACTCATTCAAAACAATATTATTCTCTAGAAATTTCTAAAGACAGGAACTTATTACACCAAATTTTGTTCAGTAAATAAATAATATCCAGAGTAGCACAGGTAGGAAATAAATGAAACACTACCACATAATTGGAATTTAAAATAATAGCGTCTCTAGTACTATTTCTTTTGTTTGTTTTTTTAAACAAAATATATTGTAAACTACTCTAATGTGCGAAAAGTGATATCAAACTCACGTGCAAGGAGGCGGATATACTGTTTTGATCAACTGACCTAACCCACATTGATAGTAATAGTCATTTCTTTTTCTCAAATATCATAGATGATAATTAACCCACATTAATAGTAATATTTGTTTCTTTTACTCAACTCTCATGGACGATAATTATTAAAGACGATGAAAAGTCCAGTCCAATTTTGTGCTTGGATCAATGAACTTGGACTGGGATGTTATTAAGCCCACCACCATTTTAAGAGGACAAAAAAGAGAGTTGGATAATTTTTCGTCAAACAGCCCAAACAAACGTACCAGCGATAGAAACAAAGGTCGCATTTTGTTCACCTTCAGCTTCAATTTTCTTCTCCGGCTATCTTCAACCGTCTCCGGCCATTTCGCCGCACCGACGACCATCCCCAGCCTAAGCTCTGATTTTCACTGCTCTCTGGATCTCTCACCCTCTTTCTCACAGATCTCGCAGCTATCTCCAGATCTCAGAGCTCAATCTCTCGCATCTCAGTCACAGGCAAGGAAGTTTGTTTTGTCTTTTTTATTATTTATTTTTTATTATTAATGTATTTGTGAAAATTGTCTCATGTTACTCTTTTCTGCGGTTGCTGATAAAAACTAAGTTGGGTGCAGAAAATTGAAGCTGGGTTTTGCTAAATGGAAAAGTTATTTTTAACATGGTTGGGTGTTTGTGTGATGCTTAACTGGGTTGGGTATTTTTCTGATGCTTAGCTGGTGGTAAAGACAATGGTAATTGTGTTAGGCACTGGTTCTTCTAGAACAAAGACAACCCAGAAGTTGAAATATCATATTTGCTCGAAACGTTTAGAAAAAAACAATGTGCAGTTAATCCTGCATTTAGTCTTTCTCCCATAGTTCTGTAATTTCCTATTTAGTTGGCGTGTTTTGAATCTATGTTCAGGCCAAACATATACTAAAGAATGATAATTTGGCGCCATAACTAAATTTACCTTATCCTGCATATAGTTTCCTGGTTTGTGTGATTTTAATCCTTCTGTAATAAAAGTTCTGGCTTTAATACGTTGTCTTGATCTATTGTTCGAAACATTACCTTTCTTGTACCTTTTGCATTTCTTATTGGTCAGCCACGTTTACATCACAGGATTTGAGATACTATGCCTTTGGAAGCTTGACGATGGCATAGCGTTTCACTAACAATGCTCATGCCGATATGCCATAAAACTTTGAAAAAAGAAATGGAGACTAAAGCCTGAGCCATGCATATCACTAACAGGTAAATATCACTGATTAGCGCTGATAGGTTCTTTTTATAAATGGAGCTGAAGACTGAACCATGTATATCACCGGGAACTCTGCTTCGTTACTTGTTTGTTGCTGATATACATCTCAGCTATATCAAGACTGATATAGTGTCTGTTGCAATGGAGATATTGGTTATCACATTTTAACCTGTTGAACTCACAATATGGTTCTTCTTGCTTAGTTGTGTTGGTTTTGGATACGGAGATGGACATTTGTGAGCATGAGTGTTCTTTTTAAGTATCATTTAGTTCTAAATATGATCCTCTTCCTTATTTTGCGAGAATGGAGTTAAACAACAACACTACATCTTCCACCAAGTTAAACTTATGTTTAATAGAATTTAGTTTGTGTTTTTATAGGTTTTGCACAAACAAATCTATTTTCTCATTTTCTTCTCTACTCATGAATTTTACTTGTCTAAATTCTGTGGTTTGCGATTGCAGGGATTTTATGTGATCCTAAGAAAAATTAGACAGAAAACAAATTTGCATTTTGATTAATTTGTGTTGTGTTATTTTGGTATCAGTAAATTTTTGTTCTAATTCTTGTGTTGATATAACGGATATCATGGATATCTTGTTATGAACTTGGTTGAAATGAAAAGCTTTCTGATCAGTTTTGGTAAATATGTCTTCCTTATTTTGTTCTAGGTTGTGCAAATAATTGAAATTATAACATGGTTGCTTTTAAATTTCAGTGTCATTTTTAATAGTTAAGTTCTGATTCGAATGAATTATATTTTATGCCATCAAGATATATTGAAGATATTATCTTTTGTAAAATTTATTTTATCAATATATTTATGAATCAATATGAGAAATTGTTATCTGGCAAAATGATTGGGTTCAAATATATTGTAAATCAAACACAAAATAATCTTATCTAGCAAATCCATCTTCTTAGTCCCATATTAGATCAAACTCATCATAGTATTATTTCTCAGCTAAGGTGTGAAATTTACTTGCAGATGACAATAAAGGTGGTACAAAAAGATGGGAGAGAAGACACCTTGGTTCATTAAGTTTATTCCTACTTGTAATTTTGATATCTTCACAAGCGCGTGCACAATGCCCTTCTTTACCTTCAAGCCCTAGCCCCAGGCCTACAAAAATGGTGGGACCCAGGAGACACATCCTCCCACTCCTCCTCTTCTCTGTCTCCGTCCTCTTCTTCTTCTCCTACTACCACTCCTCTCTCCCCTTCTCCTCCCCAGACCCAAACCCAAACCCTACTTTCACTCTCCGTGCCCAAGACCCGAACTCTAACCCCAATTTCACCTTCATTGTCAAGGTCCTGACCTTCAACCGCCTCGAATCTGTTGCTCGCTGCCTTCGTTCCCTCGCTGCTGCCGACTACCTCACTGACAAGGTCCAACTCCACATCTACATTGACCATTTTGCACTTGGGGATGCATCTTCAAATGTTGGTCAGAAGTTGCAGGAGTCACATCGGATTTTGGAGTTTGTAGATGGGTTTGAGTGGAAATATGGGGACAAGCTAATCCATTACCGGACTGCCAATGCGGGCCTGCAGGCCCAATGGTTGGAGGCCTGGTGGCCCAGCTCGGACAACGAGTTTGCGTTTGTTGTGGAAGATGACTTGGAGGTCTCACCACTTTATTACAAGTTTCTAAGAAGCTTGATTGTGAATTACTATTACAATGCCTCCAACTATCGTCCATACATCTACGGGGCTTCGCTGCAGCGACCAAGGTTTGTCCCAGGTACCATCCTATTTTGTTTTCTTTGTGTTTTTTGGAATACCAATCTTTGAATGCCTTGTCTCTAATTCAATTTCTAAAAGAAAGTGTAAAAGGGCTTATGCTTAGTACTGGCACTGAATTGATTTTACTTTGGGCTTTTTCTGATACTGGTTATCAGATCCGAGTGATGTAAATCATGCAAGAACGTTTATAAAACAAATCAAATTTCAGTTTTGAATATTTGGATTTTAATAAATCGGTGAAGGAAAAACAAAGGTTTCAGAAGAGAATTTGTTCCACTTAAATCATCTTTTGGCTTGACATATTTTCACTCTTCTTATTCGGGAATAAAGAAAGGAATTTAAAAGTATATATATATATATATATTTATAATTTTTTATTTATTTTTAAATTTCCTTTTAATTAGTTTGATGCTGGCTTGTAGGTAAACACGGGAACAAAATACAGTTGGATGATAGAACACGACTCTTCTTGTACCAACTCGTTGGCACTTGGGGTCAGCTTCTCTTTCCTAAACCTTGGAAAGAGTTCAGGTTGTGGTATGACAATCACAAGGCAAAAGGCATTAAACCATTTCTTGATGGCATGGTACTTTTTTATTTTTACTTTCTAGAAATATGTTTCTTGATTTTTTTCACTTATTACTCAGTTGAGCTCTGAAATTTATGTGCAGGTGACAACAGGGTGGTACAAAAAGATCGGAGAAAAGATATGGACACCTTGGTTCATTAAATTTATCCATACTCGTGGTTATTTTAATATCTACACCAATTTTTTACATGAGAGAGCGCTTAGTGTCTCTCACAGGGATGCTGGTGTTAACTATGGGAAAACAGCTGGGCCTGATTCCCATATACTGGATGAAAGTTCTCTTGATTTTGGTTTTTGGGATATGCAACCGTTGAGTGATTTGAGGTGGTATGATTTTTGTTTCAGAGAAATATTTCCCGAAAGAGTTGTTGGGAGCCTTGATGAACTTGGGTCTGTTCTTAATTCTGTGCAGAAACAAGACACTGTTATTATTGTGAGTCTGTTTGGGGTTCCAGAGATGGTAATTAGGAACTTGCTCTGCCACTTTGAGAGTCTAAATTTGTGGCACTATGTACTTATTGGCTCCGAATCTGACTTCCTGTTTGATCTGGCAAGAAGAGGACATCCAGTAATTGGTACAGACCAGTTTCTAAGGAGTGTAGGAGCTCACAAGTTGACGTCTTTCCAGGATTCTAATGTGGAAATGATCAAGGAAGTATTAGTCAAGGCCTATCTACTGAAAAAGTGTTTAGAATCTAGGTACAATATTTGGGTGGTGGATGGGAACGTGCTGCCTGTCAACAGTGACCTATTTATTGAATCTCATCCTTCGTATGATTTCTATATAGGGAAGAGCTCAGAGCTTTTCTTTGCCAGAAGATCATCCTCTGCACGAAGTATCGGGGGCAATGATTTTATATCCAAATTTGCAATGATGGTGAACTCTTTGCTAGCCAAAAGACACAGCCTAAGTTTTGGGTATATAATGGCAAAGTTTTTGGAACAGAAGGGTGTGAGGGTTAAGAATCTTGATGAGACAAGCTTAGGTCGCAGGATCGGTAACGGAAACGTTAATCAATCCTTAGGGGATGGAAAACAGATGGTATTTTGGTCTAGTGATATGGCTTCAGATTTACTTCAGAAGCGGCTTCAAGAATTGGGTATTTGGATTGTAAATGATGACTTTTCTTGCAAGGCTGTTGTTTGTCACAAGTCATAGCATCTTTTAGCGGTTATACACATTTTATCTCTTCATTTCATTGTAACCTATTTGTATTTTCAATTTTGTGGCTAATTTTTCCCTTAGGCATGATTCTCATTTGCCAAATTTACAGGAGATTTTAGAACCGTACTGGATGACTGCAGGTAAAGGAAGCCCGTCCATTCAAAGTTGCACTAAACTAGCTAGACCCTTTTACTTTTAACTGAGTAAGTATATGTTTACTTACCAAATTGAATGTAGAAGTGTAAACGAAGTACGCAAGGAATGGATAGTTTAGTCCAAATATGAGCGTTGGGCAAGTGATTAAGAGCAGTTACACCTGAATCCGAACTCGTGTTTGAATCCTCCTTTAAATATTGCTTATGTTTTATCCATTCACACTTCTGTTTTCTGTCATGCACACCTCAGCAGTTTTAGTGGGAAACACTTACAATTGCAAAGCCTCAAAAAGTAGGATACTTTTTTCTTCTTTTTTTTCGAAGGAAAGTACGATACTTTATAGAGCCAAAGTGAACGCAACAACTTTACAAAAAGGCCTCACTATATGTAAATTTCACAAGATCCTATATACTGTTGTTAATATTGGACAGCACTTACTTAAGATCAAACAATAACTTGGATAAGAAAATGATAATGCAAATTAATACCAGAGCATTAAAGAATTTAAGTGGGTCGGCTAGTTGCAAACATTCTTTGAAGACAACGATTAACAAAATGAAACACATCGATCTCAAATCATGAACACTGATATGCGTTCTATAGGCATGCATATTTTTGTTTGATACAAAGTGTGAAGGGTAAAGGTAAATACTTTACTAGGCCACTAACTACTAAAGGGTGTGCAAGTTTAAAACTTTTGTGGGACTTTAATGCCATATGGGAGGATGAGTGAGGGTAAAATCAAATATTTTACTAGGGTACTACTAAAGTGCATGTAGAGAAAATTTTGGGTGGAGCCTTTCTGCCATTTAGTAGGATGAGTGACAGGAAGTCTCGACCCCAGTTTATTCTCTCTATTATGCATATCCTAATTTCAACTAAGATGCAAATTAATAGTTTCCTCACTTCAATATTATTCAAACTTCAATATTTATGTTTCAGTGGAAAATGACTTTGACTTGCAGATCAATGATATGAGATTCGAACCCTTGTAGCACATTGATAATGTGTGTTTGTGAGAAAATCCTCCTTCCTTTGTAGCTTAGATTATCGGTTGTATTTAAAAAAAAATAAAAAAAATCACTACTTGCAAGAACGAGGGTGAAAAACTATGATAAAAATATAGTTTAAAGATGCATACAATTCCACTTGCATGGATTTCATATCTATGAATCTTGCTTTATTGCAATTGAGCAAATCTTTTATACCTAGACACTTAGATACAATCGTATAACTTAGTCTTAATTAAGATTTGTGTAATCATACTAATTTTGGCACCATTTCTGCATTCACTCAAATAAAAAACTTAAAAGTAATTCTCAAGAACAGCAATTGGCTCCTTCCCTAATGAAATTCTATCTCAGCAAAAATATCAAGACCCATCCAGCTTTAAATAAACCAAAATGGGACACAACTTATATACAGATCATCATCATCAACTCACTGAGTTTTCAAAATATGACAACAGCCTATATGTTTCTAGAAACTCTTGGTTAAACAATTGGGCCTTCTACCCCCACATTATGCCCTAAATTTTATCCTAAATCTACTTTGAGATGACACCTGTAAAGTAAAACAAAGCAAGGGGTAGTAGAATAAGGACCACATCCGATTTTTCTAGCTTAAGGTTAAGCACAGATGACATTGACATGCTTAGCTATTAAAATAAGTTTTAAGGGGGTTCACTTTTCTTGATTATCCGTACTAAGCACGGATTAGCATTGTCTCTAGAAATGTTAATTAACAATTGAAAAGGAAAAGAATAAATTAGATGTGATAATTCGGTGCTAACAAACGTGTGAGTATCTCATGCCTAATTTGTGTCATTGTACAATGGAGACTATCGAGTTAAGAAATATTTTACAGTTGCTGCACTATGAAAATTATCAAGTGTAGAAGTACTTTATTGACAACCCAACAAGAGAGAGAGAGAGAGAGATAGAGAGAGAGAGAGAGAGAGAGAGAGAGAGAGGTGTGACCACATATGACTTTGGTGACGTTCCAAAATCATTAGTCCCTTCAAAATGTACCACATGTTCATACTGTTGTAGTATTTTATAAGTTCTCCTCTAGGATAATAGCCCCAAAGTATATTTAAATGATTTAATTCAGATTTTATTGTAATTACTTTGAAACATTTAAGAAGTAAGTAAATCCAGCACCTAGTGCAAGCCCATTGGCCCTCTAATTTTCAAGTTAAGAAAGTTCCAACATCCACTTATTTTTACAGTGAAATTTCTTAAATTATGCTTGATTAGCATGCCTATGGTGCTACTAGTTCTTCTTGTCCAAATGCATAAGCTCCACATACGTGGCCTCACGCCATGGGATCCTTTATTCATCTTTTGTCTCACTTTAGCATCCAACACTTTAATTTCAACTAAAAGATTTGGATCCTTACTAGAATATGTCACCCAATACAATAGCAAACTTGTGGTTTCCCCAGATGCCCATCTTTGAGTGAAATATTTTTAACTTCATGATTGAAACAATTCGTATACTTGATTGGTATAAAGTTTGTAGTTGATAAAAGTTAGGTTGGGTTGCCTACCTGTGCGTTGATGGTGGTCAATTGATGTATTAAGAGACCTATTTGCATTGGTGATTAATAACTATTTATGTGCGTAGGCGACAATTACTAGCATATGTCTTGTAATTCATTTTTTATATTAAACATGAGCGACTTTCAACCGTTGATGCGCCAGGAATGATTGTCACTGCACCAGGAATGATTGTCACTATCACATGTCTTCTAGTTGATTCTTGGTGTAAAATATCAGACATTAAAGGTGAGGATAGAGATGATGATAAAGAGACAAAAAGAAATCATGGAACAATCTCAGACAAATCACAAATGGATATAAGCGTGGCAGAGTGGTTCTGTCATTACAGATCTGATGATGGCATTTGTGAGAGATCAGATCACCCGTACCTTAATTAAAAAAGTCGAAAACATATAGGGAGGATTTGAAAATGACAGTAAATTGACTGATGGAACAAAGTAGGGGGCTAATGGTTATGCTGCAGATATATAAATAGGCAACCAAACATAAGCAGAAATGCCATAAGGTTTCTGAAGCCATAACTTTACAAGCTAAACAAACACATAAAGAAGTTCTGTGGTTTTGACATGTATTTGGGGATGATGGCAGGTCATCAAATGGGTTGGGGTATAATAGAAGAAGAGGGTTGGAGAAAGGGACCTTGGACTGCTGAGGAAGATGGGTTGCTTATTGAGTATGTAAAGCTTCATGGTGAAGGAAGATGGAACTCTGTGGCTAGGCTTGCAGGTATTTATAATTACAGCTTAATTCTTAATTAGATGCAGTTTGTATTTTGTCTAATTAGGGTTAACAAAAGCATAAAAATTGTACACTTTGATTATACAGGACTGAAAAGGAATGGAAAGAGTTGCAGATTGAGATGGGTGAATTACTTGAGGCCAGAACTCAAGAGGGGGCAGATAACTCCACATGAAGAGAGCATAATTCTAGAGCTACATGCTAGATGGGGGAATAGGTATGTCTTCTTCTTCTTTTTTGTTTTATTTAGTTTGATCTTTTTCCTGTTTTAGTGAGCTTAGTTTCTGCTTTGAAAAAATTCAGGTGGTCAACAATTGCAAGAAGCTTGCCTGGAAGAACTGACAATGAGATCAAGAACTACTGGAGAACCCATTTCAAGAAAAAGGCAAAAGTGCCTTCTGATGCCTCCGAAAAGGCGAAAAATCGCTTCTTGAGGAGGAAGCAATTTCACAATCAGCAACATCAGCAGCAACAACAACATTTACAAGTGAATCAAGAAGAAGTGAAAAGAATCTTGGCCTTGCTGGATGAAAATAATGACACTAAAATGCCATGCTTCTGGCCTCAAGTTAAGCAAGGCATGGAGACTATAAGTACATATCCTCATCACACAACTGATCATCAGGAGCAAGGCTTCTACTATTCCATGCTCAATGGAAATGTGTCTGTGCCTGAAGCCTCCAATAACGAGGACAATTTTCTGTGGGATGGTTTGTGGAACTTAAATGATGTCCATGGCAATTTTAGCTCAACATGTGCAACAGGAAAAGCTAGCTAGTTTGCACAATTCGTGTGTTCCCTTATGTTAAATCTGAGCAATCTTTGGTTTTGCAGGTGTAATATTAATAGCTAGAGTTCTTTAGTGTCATCAAAATGTCACTAGCTTAAAGTATGGAGTTGCAAATTTTCATAAAAGGCTAAACTTTCTGCCTTTTAATTATGTTTTGGTTGCTTAACACCAATAAATATGGTTCCCTTGGTTGGTAGCCAAAATTTTCTCTTTTTTGTTGCTTGTCTATACTTTCTAAGAATAATCAAATTGAAGGAGCATGTTTCTCCGAAGGCAAAGTGTTAAAGACAGATTGAGCAAGAAATTAAGGAGAAATTATTGACTCCGGCGAAGGACAACATCACTCGTTCATCCACACACAAACAAAAACAAAAAACAAACTATATATTTATACATGAAATTCTTTTTTATGTATGTGACTAGATGAGTGACGTGTTCCACCCACCGGACAAAAGATGAAAAAAATCACTCACTCAATCAAACCTTTTTGTTTTTTTGGACAAATTCACTCAATCAAACCTAAGTTGTACTTTGAAAAACACGGAAGAGCACATGACATCTTAAATACTTTTTTAGATTAGTACTAGGCTAGCTTAGTCGTGTCAAGCTTTTAGTGACATCTTTGTCTTCATATTCTTTATGCTCTTGTGAGAGAAAATATGCAATCCTACTGTATCATTTATTTATACTACAAGGGTCTTGTCTTGTATCAAGATAAGAACTAGGTTCTTTTAGTTGTGCTTATTTTTTTATGTTATCTTCTGTGACATCCGTCCTTTAGATGAGCTATAGCAGATAGTAAATTAACTTTGCCTATAGTGCAAAACTCGTCTCTAATTCGACTTTCATCATGGTCTATGCAATTTTAATTGTAAGAATATAACTCATATTCTTACTTACTTTACACAAACCCTCATTTCTGTTCATTGATTGGATGAACTGGCTATGTGTCGAGTACACATAAATTTTTTACTTACATTACATAAACCCTAGTGAAAATCAAGCCAAATTATATTCGCCCAAAATGGCCACTTCGTCTACTCGATTGACGGAAATAAGAATTTTACTTGTAATGTCAAATAATTACATGGGTAACTCATAAGAATTTTATGGTCATAAATATCAAATAACAACATGGGTAATACTGCCCAAACTATAGGGACCTCAGTACAAATGAAACTAAACTACAAGGATACTTTTGTAATTTGGTCACTAACGTCCCTTGTGAAGAGGGGATTATAATAAGTCAAAATATTCGTAAGCCCAAACATTTCAAGGCCCAAATTCCACCTCAGCCCCAGGCCCAGACGTTAGCAACCCAACCCCTTCCAGCCGAGCCAACTATATTTCAAACTCCCCTCTTCCCTCTCTCAGTTTTGCAACTCTCCCAGTCTCTCTCTACTTTCTTCTTCACCCTCTCATTGTCGGTGGACGTTCCCTTATTCTTTTCTATTTACTTCAATCAACTTCTCCTGCTGGTCTCCTGGGTGTGTAAAAGGTGAAACGGCAAAGCTCACATCACATGCCGTTTGATTGACAGAGCCACATAGTTTCCGAAGCGGGCTGAAGGTGATGGCAGGGCAATAATATTTATCTGCAGTGCCTTTTAAATTTTGTAGAAAATATGCCTCTTCTATTAAACATTGTTTCCGCTTTGCATAACTAGAATAGATAGAGAGCTGATAATGGTGTGTTTTTAAGCAGGTGATGTTTGGTTGCTGGAAGAAGCACGGACACGGATACACAAACTACCTCTCCGTGCTTAATGAACCTCTCGTCTGCGCGCAAGACATTTACCCTCATAACCTCACGCTATTACACTTGTGCCACTGTGCTCCACCAGCCTTTGAACCTCCACCATTTTCTTCAGCTTTCGGTTACCCACCACTCTCTTCCACTCACTCAACAAGCTCACGCTCAAGTTCTCACTCATGGCCTCCAACAAAACCCTTTTCTCGCCACAAAGCTCATCTCTGCTTACGCTCTTTGTGGAAACCCAACCAAGTCGAAACTCGTCTTCCACTCTGTTGAGATCAAGAGTATGTATTTATGGAACTCATTGATTAATGGGTATGTGAGAAATTGTGTTTATAATAAAGCTTTTGAGCTGTTCGAAGAAATGTGTAACTGTAATGTATTGCCGGATGATTATACCTTAGCGACCATGGCCAAAGTTTCCGGCGAGGTTCAGGACTTGGTTGCAGGGAAATCTGTTCATGGGAAGAGTATAAGAGTGGGGTTTGTTTTGGATACTGTTGTTGCCAATTCTCTGATGTCTATGTATTGTAAATGTGGGAATTTTAGTGAATGTAGGAAAGTATTCGAGGAAATGCCTCAGAGAAACGTGGGGTCTTGGAATGCGATAATAGCAGGATATGCAAGTTCCGTGGATCATGGTTCTGATAAGGAAATTTGGGAAATTGCTAAATGCATGCTGATGAATGGGGTGAAACCTGACGGGTTTAGTGTTTCAAGTCTTTTGCGTTTGTGTGGAGGTGATGATATTGAGAAATGGGATTACGGTAGCGAACTTCACTCTTATATTCTTAAGTATGAATTGGATTTAAAGTGGGGTTCAGATGTTCATCTCGGGTGTTGTTTGATTGATATGTATTCTAGGAGTTATAGAGTTGATTTGGGTAGACGGGTATTTGACCGCATGAAGTGTAGAAATGTATATGCTTGGACTGCCATGATCAATGGTTATGTGCAGAGTGGAGCTCCCGATGAAGCATTGGTTCTGTTGCAAAAGATGCAGGTCGAAGATGGAATACAACCCAATAGAGTATCCCTAGTAAGTGTCCTTCCTGCTTGTAGTTCACATGCTGGTTTAATGCGTGGGAAACAAATTCATGGGTTTGCTATCAGGAAGGAAATGAATCATGATGTATCGTTATGTAATGCTTTGATCGATATGTACTCGAAATGTGGGAGCTTGGATATTGCAAGGCGAGTCTTTGAGGATGATTCTTTTTGTAAGGATGCAATCTCTTGGAGTTCAATGATTTCAGGATATGGTTTACATGGAAGAGGTGGGGAAGCCATTGTTTTATATAGTAAGATGCTTCACCTTGGAATCAAACCAGACACAATAACTATAGTTGGGATCCTTTCCGCTTGTGGCAGGTCAGGACTGGTAAACGAAGGCCTTTCCATCTATAGCTCTTTATCAACTGATTTTGGAATTAAACCAACAGTGGAGATCTGTGCTTGTGTGGTGGATCTGTTAGGCCGATCAGGAGACCTCGATGGAGCATTAAATTTCATCAAAATGATGCCTGTAGAACCTGGTCCAAGTGTTTGGGGGTCTTTAGTTTCTGCTTCTTTGTTGCATGGGAATCGTGACATGCAAGATCTAGCTTACAGGTTCCTTATTCAACTAGAACCCAAAAACCCGTCAAATTATATTTCGCTATCGAACTTCTATGCTTCTTCTCGGAGGTGGGACGTTGTAGCTGAAATGAGAAGAATGATGAAAGAAAGAGGTTTGAAGAAGGCACCTGGGTGCAGCTGGATAAGCATTAATTCCAAGACTCATTGTTTCTATGTTGCTGATAAAGCACATCCTTGTTCTAATTCGATCTATCAGATGCTTGGCTACCTTATCTTAGTGATGAAAGGAGCCAGCTATTCTGATGATTTTGAACATCCAGCATAGATTCTTTTTATATTGGTTGATACTTTGCAGACCCTACTACAGTTAGGGACAGGATTCGTACTACAAGTACCATTTAGTGATCTAATGATTGTTGTTAGTTGCTTACACAACCTTGTAATTTTTTTTTCTTGTTCTTTACTAGATTCACGTCTTCCTAATGTAAGTAATCTAAGAGTCTCATCTGGCTTATATGCAACGGGTGTATACTATGTTCATCTCACAATAGTTGGTCGCACAAACTGAGCTACAATTGATGCAGGGCTTCCTCAAAGATGCAGATGCAAGACAAGGACGAGATGAAACAGTCCGTATTTGGGTTGCCAAGATTAGAGATGCTGCTTATGATTTGGAGGATGTCATCCAAACTTATGGCTTGAAAGTGGTTTCCAAGAAGAAAAGAGGCCTCAAGAATGTTCTCAAAAGATTTGCCTGCGTCTTCAAGGAAGGGGTTGATGTTCAGAGGATTGGGAACCAAATTGAGAATATCACCACCAGAATTTCTGATTTGAGGTCAAGTTTGCAGAGTTATAACATAAGGGAAATGAGGGAAAAGGACAGCAGTGGTGGTGAATCTTCCTTGCAATTGCATGAGAGGCTAAGGAGAAGTTATTCTCATGTTGTTGAACGTGATGTTGTTGGGTTAGAGTCCAACGTTGAAGAATTGGTTATGCATTTAGTGAAAGATGAAAATCGTCATCGAGTTGTATCTATTTGGGGGATGGGCGGTTTAGGGAAGACCACCCTTGCAAGACAACTTTATCATCACAAAGAAGTAAGGCAGCATTTTCATGGTTTTGCTTGGGTCTGTGTATCTCAACGTTATCAAGTAAGAAATGTTTGGGAGGGAATTTTATTTGAAGTCATTTCTGCTACCAAGGAACAAAAACAAGAAATGAAGGACATGACAGATGATGAAATAGCAAAGAAGCTTTTCCGTGTTTTGCAAAAAATGAAATGTTTGGTGATCCTTGATGACATATGGAGAATCGAGACATGGAATCTTTTGAAGGCTGCATTTCCAGAAGTGGAAACAGAGAGCACAATATTGCTTACTACACGCAATCAAAAAGTAGCCACGCTCCCAAATAGAAATGCTTTTCTCCACAAACTCCAGCCACTCAATGAGAATGAGAGTTGGAACCTACTTGAGAAGAAAGCAATATCTGAAAGGGCTGATATCGGTATTTCCTCACCCTTAACTCTTTTCTCTTCTAGGTTCTTAGTTATAATTTTTTAATATTGTCAAACATGTAGCAATTTTTGGCAAAAAAAGAAGAAGAAAAAGAACAAGTAGTGATTGCAATTTTATAAACTGCCTTACTTGGTCACATATTTGTTAGGTAGCAGATAATTTATCTTATGCAATTGTAAATAATAATCAGGACAATGCTAGACAATTCAAAATTTTCCCCCAACCTTCTCTTCAATCCAGATTTAATTTTTGAATCTTCTCCATTTGGCATGTGTTATAAAATCCAAACTTATAATAGGACAAAGGATATTACTAAATTTCGGGATTTCACAATATAAATGTCTTAATTGGCATCCTTTGCTATTTCATCATCTGTCATGTCCTTAATTTCTTGTTTTTGTTCCTTGGCATACTCATACTACAAGAATGTATTTGATTTTTTTTCTCTTTCTTATTTTTAGATTTGGGAATGTACACAAAAAAGAGAGAATTAGGAAAGAATATGCTTCGACATTGTAAAGGTTTGCCATTAGCCATTATTGTGCTTGCCGGAGTTCTAACAAGGAAAAAACTGTTAGAGAGTGGGAGATAGTGCATGAGAATGTTCATGAATACATAAGGAAAGGGATAGGTCATGAAGAAGAATATGAAGGTGCATCATGGGTTTTGGCATTGAGTTATGATGACCTACCGTATCACTTAAAACCATGTTTTTTATATTTAGGTCATTATCCTGAAGATTGTATTATTTCGGTAAGCACATTGACTAAGTTATGGGTGGCAGAAGGTCTTATCTTCTTAAGACAACAAAGACGTGGTTCGGAGAAAACAATAGAGGATATAGCACGTGATTGCTTGAGTGAGTTGGTGGAAAGGTGTTTGGTTCAAATGGGAACAAGTGGTTCAACTGGGACAATTAAAGATTGTCGAATCCATGATCTTGTACGAGACATGTGTTTGTTAAAGGCAAAAGATGAAAGCTTTCTCCAAATTAACTACTCTTTGCAAGAAAATACTTCTTCTGTGGCAGTCGAGGCAGAACAATTGGGGAAAATTCGAAGACTTGCAATTTACGTGGATGAGAAGGCAGATAGGTTGGTTTCTTCAAGAGATGAAACAAACGGGCATGTAAGGTCTCTATTATTCTTTGGCCTAAGTGAATGGAGGCCAAAAAATGAAAAAGGATTACTTTCTCCATTGATGGATTTCAAAGTGCTTAGAGTTTTGAAGGTTGAAGGTCTTCAGGCAAGAAGAGTAGAGTTGCCAAGTGAAATTGGAAATATGGTACACTTAAGGTTTCTAAGTGTAAATGATACCCTTATCAAAACGTTTCCGCCATCCCTAGGTAATTTAGTATGCTTGCAAACTCTTGATTGTCGTGTTTGGAATGACAATTTGGTCATCCCAAATGTGATAAAGAAGATGAAACAATTAAGACATTTATATTTACCCTGGAATTACAAAGCAAATGGTAAGCTGGAGCTGTCTACTCTTGGCCATCTACAGACCTTACATAACCTTTCAAGTGAGTATTGTGATTTGAAAGATGTTGGTAGATTAACCAATCTTAGAAAACTGAAAATAAGTCTGTCAAGCTCTTTGCAAAATCTGGAGGAAATCTTAAAATCTACAGGCAGTACGCTTAACCGTATCCGGTCTCTAATTTTTGGGAACAATTATGGAACGAATAGCAGTGCAGAGCAAGCTATGCAAATAGTATCAAGCTGTCGGGGTATATACAAATTGACGCTGGAAAGGCCAATTGCAGAATTACCGAAAGAGCTCCACAACTATCCAAACCTCACCAAGTTAGTATTGTGGAATTGCGGTCTCAAGGAGGACCAAATGGGAATACTAGAGAAGCTGCCAAACCTAACAATTTTGAAGCTTCTTGGAAGTACGTTAGAGGAGAATACAAAGATACTGGTTTTCTCCAAAGGAGGCTTTCCTTCTCTTGAATTTCTTGATGTTTGGAGTGTGAACGGAATAACAGAGTGGAGAATAGAGGAAGGAGCCATGCCTAGTCTCTGTCGATTGGAAATTGGATATTGCAGGGGATTGACGACACTTCCAGATGGGCTGAGATATCTTACTAATCTCAGGGAATTAACCATAAGAAGGATGCGTAGAGAACTCCACCGTCGGATTGAGGAAGATGGAGAGGATTTCTATAAAATTCAACATGTACCTTCCCTTGTAATTGGAGAACCATCACCGATGCAATGATGGCAAGGTAATTTCTTTCCTTTAATTGTTTAATTTTAAAGCGAAATGGGTGGTTTGGTTTGTGTTGATTAGTTATAAAATGAAGCAGAGAGAGAATATTAAAGTAGAAAAGCCAACAGAATATGGGCTCCCTTGTTTAGCTATGTTTTCTTTGTCCATTTTTATTGCTTTTTGCTTGTGCTTGTGACTTGTGTTGTGAGTGAGAAGCTTAAAATTCCTTACTTTGAGGCCAAATATCTTATAATAATATTTGATTTGTTTTCTTTGTCCATTTTGATTGCTTTTTTGATTGTGCTTGTGAGTTGTGAGTGAGAAACTTTAATGTAAAAGCCAACAGGTTAAATTTCCTTATTTTATTACTTATAAACTTTAATATGATAATTCTATCGCATTCCAAAATCTTATAATAATATTTCAAGGCCAACAGGTTAAAATACATCACCGTTAGATTTAGATGTTCCTTTTGAAGTCAATCAAGTAAGAGTACGTTGAATATTTATGTGCATTTCAGAATCTTTCCATTGCTACGCGAACAACAATTAGAAAGCTCCACTCCATAAGCTAAATCTTTTCTTTTTCTCCTGTTATTAGCAATTTTTACTAAGTCAAATTGCGTGTCACTAAGTCAAATTGTTATTAGCAAGGATGTTAGAGATTAAAAAAGTTGTACAAAATGATGTGACAATTTATGTGGATGGTGATATGTGTCATGTCATTTTCTCCTGTTCTCTAACAAAAGAAGAGACTCTTGGTTTTATGGAAAAGGAAGTAGGAGGCTAGAACTCACCTGAGTCTCATGTTGGGGTCATTTTATACATGATTTATCATGTCATTCACCTAATGTTTTGAGTTAGTTCTTGACATTTTATAGCATTTTGCTTCCATTTTCGCATTTTTATAGATTTTATCTTGGTTGGAATAAATGTGAGCTAAAAGTGCATTATTGAATATAAGTTCTGGTTTTGCTCATTTTCGTAGGTCAACTTATTGACCGTGGATCACCATGCTCCGGTGCTCGGATGAGGTGAAGCTCTTCATCAAACTTGTTCCAATGGATGTTAACTACAACATGTCCGAATTTGAGCTCCATTGAATCAGTATAGCCTAGTCAACAAATCCAGCATTGATCCTAACTCTGGAATTATGGGTTTGGACCACCTTTATCTCCATTGGATGTCACCCTTCCTTTTCTACTTATTACCACACCACTTGGTAACAATATTTTACCTCGGTAAGCTGGGATCTCATTCTAGCTAGTTGGATCCCACTTAAGGTATTAAAATTCAAAGAAATGATGAAATAGGGACATTAGCCCACCAAGCTTTAGGAAAAAGGGGAGTACCCTATGGATTGGTGAGTTGGCAAGGGAGAGAGGGCAGCTAGAGGGACGAAATCAGCTGATCATTCGAGACACACTGAGGATTTTCTGAAAAGCAAAGAGTATCCAAGCAAAGAAAGCAATACCCAAGAGAAGATGAAGAAGTCATTCCACCATTCAAGGCTTTTGTGCTTTCACCTTCACAAAATTTGTAAACTCTTTCTAGTTATATTTGTGTTTGTAATAAACATGAAGAACTAAACCCCATAGCTAGGGCTTAGGTTGAAGCCCTAAATATGAATACTCTATTGTTTTGATGCTTAAGTTTATGGATTTCTATATGTTGTTGATGAATTCCTCTTCACTAAATTAATTTATCTTTGATGTATGTTTTCTTTGATTGATCACTTTTGAAAGCATACTTATTGAGATTGTTAGGATTATATGAAGTCATTTCTGCTTGGGTCTGTGTATCTCAACGTTATCAAGTAAGAAATGTTTGGGAGGGAATTTTATTTGAAGTCATTTCTGCTACCAAGGAACAAAAACAAGAAATGAAGGACATGACAGATGATGAAATAGCAAAGAAGCTTTTCCTTTTTCTGCAAGAAATGAGATGTTTGGTGATCCTTGATGACATATGGAGAATCGAGACATGGAATCTTTTGAAGACTGCATTTCCAAATGTGGAAACAGAGAGCACAATATTGCTGACTACACGCAATCAAGCTGTAGCCACGCTCCCAAATAGAAATGCTTTTCTCCACAAACTCCAGCGACTCAATGAGAATGAGAGTTGGAACCTACTTGAGAAGAAAGCAATATCTGAAAGGGCTGATATCGGTATTTTCTCACCTTTACTCTTTTCTTTTCCAGGTTCTTAGTTACATAGAAACCATTACATTGCGTCAAACATGTAGCAATTGCAATTTTATAAACTGCCTTACTTGATCACCCATTTGTTAGGTAGCAGATGATTTATCTTATGCAATTGCAAATAATAATCAGGACAATTCAAAATTTTCTCCCAACCTTCTCTTCAATCCGAACATATCCCAAACTTTTTTGTGCTGGTCCAGATTTAATTTTGAATGTTTTCCATTTGTAATGTGCTATAAAATCCAAACTTATAATAAGACAAAGGATATTAGTAAATTTTGGAATTTCACAATTTTAATTTTTAATCGAGCAAGGGATATGCACGACAATTGCTCATACTACAAGAATGTATTTGATTTTTATTTCTTTCTTATTTTTCAGATTTGGGAATTTTCACAAAGAAGAGAGAATTAGGAATGAAGATGCTTCGATACTGTGCAGGCTTGCCATTAGCCATTATTGTGCTTGCCGGAGTTCTAGCAAGAAAAAACACCGTTAGAGAGTGGGAGAGAGTGCATGAGAATGTCCATGAATACATAAGGAGAGGGATAGGTCATGAAGAAGAATATGAAGGTGCATCATGGGTTTTGGCATTGAGTTATGATGACCTTCCATATTACTTAAAACCATGTTTTTTATATTTAGGTAATTATCCTGAAGACTCTGAGTTTTTGGTAAGCGAATTGACTAAGTTATGGGTGGCAAAAGGTCTTATCTCCTTGAGACAACAAAGACATGGTTCGAGGGAAACAATGGAGGATATAGCACGTGATTGTTTAAGTGAGTTGGTGGAAAGGTGTTTGGTTCAAGTGGGAACAAGTGGTTTAATTGGAACAATTAAAGATTGTTGAATCCATGATCTTGTACGAGATATGTGTTTGTTAAAGGCAAAAGAGGAAAGCTTTCTCCATATTAACAATTCTTTACAAGAAAATGAGGCAGCTAATCTATTAACTTCTTCTTCTATGGCAGCCAAGGCAGCACAATTGGGGAAAATTCGAAGACTTGCAATTTACTTGGATGAGAATGCAGATATGTTGGTTTCTTCAAGAGATGAAACAAATGGGCACGTAAGGTCTCTATTATTCTTTGGCCTAAGAGAATGGAGGCCAAAAAGAGAAAAAGGATTACTATCTCCGTTGAAGGATTTCAAAGTGCTTAGAGTTTTGAAGGTTGAAGGTCTTAACAAAGTAGAAGTACAGTTGCCAAGTGAAATTGGAAATATGGTACACTTAAGGTTTCTAAGTGTGAAGAATACAAGAATAAAAAGGTTTCCTCCATCCCTAGGTAATTTAGTATGCTTGCAAACTCTTGATTTTTGAGTTTCCAGTTACACCATAGTCATCCCAAATGTGATAATGAAGATGAAACAATTAAGACATTTATATTTACCCTGGAATTACAGAGCAAAGGGTAAGCTAGAGTTGTCTACTCTTGGCCATCTACAGACCTTATATAACCTTTCAAGTGAGTATTGTGATTTGAAAGATGTTGGTAGATTAACAAATCTTAGGAAACTGAGAAAAAGAGTGTCAAGCTCTTTGCAAAATATGGAGGAAATCTTAAAATCTATCGGTAGCACGCTTAACCGTATCCGGTCTCTAATTATGGAGAACAAAATGAATAGCGGTGAAGAGTAAGCTGTGCAAATAGTATCAAGCTGTCGGGGTATATACAAATTGGCGTTGGTAGGGCCAATAGCAGAATTAGCAAAAGGGCTCCACAACTATTCAAACCTCACCAAGTTACAATTGAGTAAGTGTGGTCTCAAGGAGGACCAAATGGGAATGCTAGAGAAGCTACCAAACCTAACAATTTTGAAGCTTATAGGAGATTCTTTCGAGGGGAATACAAAGATACTGGTTTTCTCCAAAGGAGGATTTCCTTCTCTTGAATTTCTTTATGTTTCTAGAAGGCACCAAATAACAGAGCTGAGAGTAGAGGAAGGAGCCATGCCTCGTCTCTGTCAATTGGAAATTCAATATTGCTGGGGATTGACGACACTTCCAGATGGGCTGAGACATCTTACTAATCTCAGGGAATTAACCATCAAATGGATGTCTAGAGAACTCCACCGTCGGATTAAGGAAGATGGAGAGGATTTCTATAAAATTCAACATGTACCTTCCCTTGTAATTGGAGAACCATCCCCCTACACCTAAGTTCCTAACCACCACCGATGCAATGATGGCAAGGTAATTTCTTTCTTTTAATTTTTTTAATTTTAAAGCGAAATGGGTGGCTTGGTTTGTGTTTATTAGTTATAAAATGAATCACCGAGAGAATAGAAAAGCCAACAGAATATGGGCTCCCTTGTTTAGCTATGTTTTCTTTCTCCATTTTTATTTCTTTTTGCTTGTGCTTGTGACTTGTGAGTCCTGATTCCTGAGCCTTTATCATTTCCAAATATTTTTTTTTTGGGTCCAAGTCAAGTAAACTGCTGAATTTGTGTTATGGTAGCTAGCTGCAGGTAGGAAGGAACTGAGTATGTCGAAGCTCTGCAGCAGAGTGAGCACGTGCGAAGCTGAACTTAACGGAGAAGAAAGAAATGCTCTGTGAAAATCAAGAGGAGCAAAGATGTTGTCCAACAGTACATTTATAGTACACAACTGAAATTATTGTATTATATTAAAACCTGGTCCCATATATGAATATTTGAGCTTGTGGGCATCATGCCTTCGTTGATTTCACGGTTAGCATTCCCAACTTGGTCCCATATACCATATGATATGATTTTACAAAATCCTTGCCAGGTGCTGGTGGGAGAATTTAAAAGAATGATTGGTAGATTTGTTCGACATTTAATTACTGCACAAGAGACTTCAGAGATCTTTTTCTTTTCCTGTTAAAAGATTGTGTGCCACTATGTCAAATTGTTATTAGCAAGGGATGTTCGAAATTGAAAAAACGTTTTACAAAATGATGTGACAATTTATGTGGATGGTGATATGAATCATGTCATTTTCTCTAACAAAAGAAGACACTCTTGGTTTTATAGAAAAGGAAGTAGGAGGCTAGAGTTCGCCTGAGCCTCATCTCCAATTTAGAGTTGGAATATATCTTAAAATTTTGTGCCACACAAAGGAGAATATCAATCGGGCTTTCTATTTTTCTCTCTTTCTTTTCGTGGCTTAAGCTACCAGTACCTTGTGCACTTGGACAAGGAAGGAAAGGAGGCTGTTAGATGGGGCTTGGGAGCAGAGAGAAGAGACTTCCATGCACAACGCAGATCCCAGGTACTTGTTCTACCAATTTTTACATCAAGCACCTCATAGCTCTGGAACTCCTTAACTTCTTCTGTTTCCGTTTTCGTTATGCGATAAGAGCTCAGCACTGATCGTATATACATATGAGATTTGTGAAACAAAAGTTATATTACAACATACTGACTGCTTTTTGCAGAGTTCAGCACCATTTAACATGATGCAACAATGCAACAACTTCAGTTTTGTCACAGAAACTACGATTGAAACTGATATCCCGGATGAAGCCTCTTTCTAAGTCATCGAGCAGTTTGGAGAAAACGAACAGCATTGAGGCAATCCTAGATTCCTCTTGTACCTTCACTTCTCCTGCTCTCATTAAAATGCAACCCTATGAAGTAGCTGCTTCACCTCTACATTACAGATTCTCACTCGGGTAATCCTGCATATTGCTCCCACTTTCAATCGGCTTGCTATATGAAAACGAGTGTTGATCATAAAATAGAAGTAGTTCTTTCACTTTTATGCCTCAGATTCTCTCTCGCGTCTGTAGATAGAAACTGAACCATATACCACTCTACCGACCCTTCTACTTTTCTGACTTCTTCTACTCAAGCCTCTCTTCCTCTCCTTCCCAACAACAGCTTCTGACATGGGTAAATTACAAAGCCATCCTAAAGGAAGTAAAGCCGCAATGAACTGTACAAGAATTCCAAAAGGCAGGCTTGAGTAGTCGCCTGCTGTTACTCCAATCAGAGAAGCCAATCCAACGCCTAAAAACCCACTAGCTATTGATGATAAACACAAGGCTGATGCTAAGAAAGAAGTCAGAGATCCTTCACAACCTCGAGGACATAAACTCGCAAATAGCACTGTGAAAGGTAAGAGTTTGAATTGCGCAATAGTTTCTGCTAACCCCGAAAAACAAAGAACAAACACCTCATTTGGAATCCCCAGTCTAACATTGATCTGTCTTACTAAAAGAAGGTCAAGAAGAAGTGAAAAGGCATACACAAGTTGCACCACACCAACCAACTTTCTCATGGGAATTTTTTTCCAATAACAGTCATAAAGTACGGCAGTGGAAAGAAGCATCAATTGGCCAATCACTCGAGACATGCCAATGACTGAAGGATCAAGATGTAGACATTGTGTTTGGTAGCAAAAGATGGAACCTGACAGGACAGGAACCATGGCAATAGAAGCTACTATCCAAGTAAGAGGACGAACAATACTTTCCTCTTGAATTCCCATCACCAGCTCAGAAAATTGTTTTCTCATACTTTCAAAGATTGGCTTCCTCATAAGATAGTGATCTGGCAATTGTGGTAAACCAAGAGATTCCTCTCTTATTCTCAATGAAATTGCAAGTTGAGCAGAAAGTAACACTGAAAATACGAGAAACATGGTTCTCGGTGGTGTTTTCATTAAGAAATATCCACCTATTAAGTTACCAAGGATTCCACCAGCAGCTGATGCCATGAATGCATAAGATTGGAGGCCTTTCATATTTTTTTCTTGCCCGTACTCTGCAACAAGAGCATCCTGTGCTACTTCTGTAATGGATGCTCCAAGATTACTAAGAAGAACACATGCCATAAGGGTAGGAAGGGCTTTAGCTGCAACAGGGATAACTGCCATTGGCCCCCAAGATAGGACCTGTAAAAGAACTGAAAGTTTGAACTCCATCAGAAATAGCCCATAGGTTTTTAGAGGACAAATATACCCTTTTTTTTAATTGCCTTTCCAAATGGTTCATATTACTTTCTGATTGATACCTATGTTAACACACCATTAAACAGTGTTTTTAGGTTCCACTTCAACATTGTTGCAACTTGCAAGGAAAGCAGCATAAGGTTAAGCTACCTTTTACAGGATATGAGCACAAAAAGCAGTAGAATTTGTCCAATTTAAAGAGAGAAGTTTCCTTATATTTAGGAATCTAATAAGTTTTTGTCTCCACAGATTAACCAAAGAAATTGTGCACATGGAAGAGACAAATGGAATCTCTAGCATAATCAAAACGGGAAGAAAAGGGCAAGAAAGCAAACCAAGCAAAGGAAAGAATAAAAACAACATAAACAAGCAACCTGAACAAAAAGCACAAACAATATGACTTAACATTTAAAAAATATATTAAAATTGAACAGATTTCTCTACAACAATGACAGAAAACAGAGCACATGAATATATTAAAACAGGGAACTATCAACAAAATTGACAAAAACGGAATGACATCAATGAAATAAGGCAAGGGAATTGTAACTAACCTCCAATGGAAATATAAGGTAATCTATGCGCACCAGAAATGTAAAGAGCATCAGAGAGTATTCCATAAAAGGGTTTGGCCACCATGGGAAGGTTACCAGAATGCTGTACGAGCTGCAATGTTGAGGGGTGCATGTTAAGATTGTGAGCCATGTGGAAGTTCAACGCCAGCCATGGAAAGCACCTAAAACCTTGCATCCAATACCCAAATCCACACAGAAACAACATTTGCTGGCTACCCAGTTGGGGAAAACCTCTTCTTTCCTCATGAATCCTGCTCCTCTTGGTTTTTCTGTAAATAACTTGGGTTGGGTTTATCAAGATGGGGCTTCTGAGCTGGGTTTTGGGTTCTGTTGGGTTTACAGGGCTGTTAATGGTGTCTGGGTTTTGGCGGTGAAAACTAAGGATGGGATTTAAGTGAAAAGGACGTTGCTTTGTCGAAGGTCTGAGGACTTTTGGGCTTATTGTTGTCCATGGATTTTCAGAAGAAACTGATGAATAAATCATGGTATATTACTAATTTGGTACTTCTAAAAAGAAAAATGCAAAACCAAGAAAGAAATGGAAATGAGGTGCCTCTATAAAACTCTCTATATGCTTCTATTCTATATTGGCTGAAAGTAACAATGAGGAAAAGTAGTGTGTGGAAAAGACAGAGACTTTGTTATTTAATAAATAATATAAGCTGGCAGCTGAATCGCTCTAAGAAGAAGAAAGAATATGCTTGTTGCTAATGGAGAGATCTAGAAAAGTGTTAAGACTGTAGTGAAGGGTTCTAGTAATTTTGAAGTAGAGAGAGAGAGAGAGAGAGTGAAGAGCATAGCCTCCTCCTTCTCTAGCTCAGCCTGAGGCTGATGGATACCTTGTTTTTGGAGGTGTGTTTGTCTTTGTCTGTTTATGGTGTACTTATTTTGCTTGTCTGTTTTGTCTTGCTATCTTTTGGAAATTGGGAGGTTCGGCCATGTGTTTGACACGCGCCCCTGTGGAGCGAGTGGGTCCAAGGAAATAGGGAGGGGCCAGCACACGGGAGTGGTGAGTGCGGGGGTGGGCCCTACATGTAGATTTGTTTTAGGTCAATTTCGTGGAACTGACTCTGACCCGACCCAATCAGCGGAGAGGATCTGAGTAGTAGATGGACTGATTGGGACTGCATATGAGATGTTGGATGTGGACTCTCCGTATATGACCGTCCGTTTTTGGACAACTGTTGGGAGTTTCACACGCGCGGCAGGCACCGAATGCAAGGTTGGTAGAAGAGCAAAGCGCGTGGGATTATAATATCAGGTCATTTTGTTGTGAATTTAGTAATTTTATGTGGCGTTGTCTAAATAATTTAGTAATCAAATCAAGTCTCCGCCGTTGGAGTTGGGTTCAGATTTTTTTATTTTTTATTTCTTCATACAAGTGAGGGTTTAAATTAATCTAAGGGTTTTACTCAAATGGTCTTCAAATTTATACCAAATTTACATTTTGGTCCATAAACTGAATTATTCGTTTAAATGGTCCACTAACTCTTTATTAATCAGTGCTTTGGTCATACCGTTACATTTTATATTAAATTTAGTCAAATAAGACTTTTGACCTATGTATCACCCATTTATCATTATTGTATCACTACTTTATCACCTATGTATCACCACTTTATCACCTATTTGGAGAACATAGGACGGTTATGGATGGTTTTACCCTTACATTTGACAGCAATATTAACGTAAGGGTAAATTACTCAAATGGTCCTCAAACTTATACTCGATTTACATTTTGGTCCCTCAATTAAATTATTCGTTTAAATGATCCTTTAACTATATATTGATCGCTCCATTGGTCCTACCATCTAATTTTCCGTTAAATTTAACCAAATTTTAGAGTAAATACGACTTTTCATAATTAACAAATAAAATAGAGTTAAAATAAATACAAAATTAGAAAAAGAGAAAAAAAACATCATGAGACCCAAACCCCCTCCCTTCGATTTCTTCCCCCCCATTCCCCCCGACCTCTTCATATGGGCATAAATCCCCAAAACCCTCACAGCAATTTCGGCGTCTTGGCCAAAGAACCGATACTTGTAACCGACTTCCACCATCAAAATGACATCTGGGTACCTCTTCTTGAGGTCCACCACTTGCTGCTCCAAAGGCGTGAACTTGGCAGGTGGGTTGGAAGAAGGAGAAGGTTTTGGAACGTCGGATGATGGTTCTAAAAGCTTATGGAGGAACTTTTGGTGGAGGGAGGGATTGAGTGCGGTGGGTATAGAGTTGTGGGTGTGGGGAAAGAGTTTGGGTAGTTTGGATGGTTTGGGAGATGAGGAGGTGAGGTGGGAGGAGAGGAGAGTGCACTTGGAGGGTGAGAAATTGACAGTGGCTGTGATTTTGGGAGGTGGGGTTGGCGGGTGATGAGGTGGGGAGGAGGGTGGTGGGTGGTTGTCTCTCAACAACAAAGGGTAATCAAGGGGGAGGGGGAGAGGGTTTAGGTGGTTGTTGAGTTGGGGTTCTAGGTTCGTTGGGAGGGGTCTATGGAAGATTTTTTTCTTTTCTTTTTCGGTAGTTGCTGGCTCGGGTGGAGGGTGGGGAGGAGTTAGGGTTTTGGGTTCATGGGGCCTGGGGTGGAGGGTGGTTGTTGGATGGGTTTAAGTGGAGAATGGTTATGGGATGGGTTTTGGGGGTTGGAGCTTGAGGGTAGTGGCCATGGGGGAATGGAGAGAGAGCTGTTCATTTGGCACAGGCTTTTCGTCATCTAATTCTATTTTTTCACGAAATATGCTCAATTTTTGGTCTCTATTTATTTTGTCTGAAAGGAATTAATAATGAAGTTTAGGCTGAACCAGTTGTTGCCGGTTGTAGAATACTTGTATATGCATTTCAGTATCAGTACTGAGAAAAAGTTCAATTAATGAATGCTTTATTTCTTTTTTCACTTTAGCAAAACCATTTCCTTCCCTTTTCCCACAGTTTCTCGTTCACCAAACAAGTTGATTCTGTGAAGATACTGGGGGCTTTGACTTCAATCTTTGCCACTGAGAGAGAGAGAGAGAGAGAGAGAGAGAGAGAGAGAGAGAGTTTTTATTTCATTTTTCAGTATTTATTTATTTTAACCGTACGAAATGACCAATTTGCCCTCGTATTTTACAGAAACATTGACAGAATATAACGATAGGACCAATGAAGTGATTAATATATAGCTAATGGATACCATTTGAACGAATAATTTAATTGAGGGACCAAAATGTAAATCGAGTACAAATTTGAGGACCATTTGAATAATTTACCCTTAACATAATGTAACGGTAGGATTAATGGAGCGATTAATATAGAGTTGATGGGCCATTTGAACGAATAATTTAATTAAGGGACCAAAATGTAAATCGGGTATAAATTTAAGGACCATTTGAGTAATTTACCATAAATGTGTGGGATTCGAGTTTTGGTATAAAAGAAGGGTCGGCTCATGGTTCTAACTAATTGACTTAATTCATATATGCAAATTTAGAATATTAAGATAAAAGAAAGAGCAAAATTATTGTCATGATGGAATTTTAAATGCAGTTGAAAAATTCGCCATTTTCACTAAGGTAATGGAGGAAGGTGAGTATCGAACTTTGATGCTAAAGGATCGAATGTTAATCAATTTATATTATAATGTATGTATCTATATCTTAATATTATACTCTAGATTCATGATATATAAAGTCTCTCATTCACCCATATTATAACACATGAATTGATAACATCATGTGATAGTGTGACAATCAAACCTTAGAATTTCTCTCTCATATAATATGTATGCACACACGTCAACGTCTTAATTGTTGATAATAAATGAAATCTTTGGCCCGAATTTAACTAAATGACTGATTAACACATTATTTAGGGAATATGACTTCATAAAGAAATTTGGTGTATAACATTACTTCTCAACTAACATTGCATTGTACACAAACATTGTTGGGTGCATGGGTTCTGAACCTCGCCCATAGGGCTTAAGGCCAATCACTTGTGCCCAAAAAAAAATCATCTTTGCTTATAAACAAGAGTAATACAATGCTACCACTTATTGTAATGTTGTCACCAAAACTATAACTAATTCATAGCGTTATGGTTGTAATGTATGTTTGTAATGTTCACCCGATTTTTCATTTCTTCATTCAAGAAGACAAGAGCAAACCCCAAAGGGAAAGTGCACCTCATGGCAGCAAAAGTCTCATTCTTTTGAGTACCCTTTACTCAAGACGAGACCATTAACGATTTCTATGTTTTCCTCTGACTTTTTGTTGTTTTTTTAAAGAAAATCTTTCACTGAACAAAACGAATATAAATCAAATCAGATGTTTCTGAGATACCTATCTTTAAATCTTTTGGTTCCTGAGAATATAAATCAAATCATCTAAAAGCAGAATGATTTTTCAACTCAAAATTTCACTCATGGCCTCAAAAGAAGAAGGATCATACATTCATTCACAAGAGAATCAGGAAACTTTATTCATTTGTAAAACTGACATCAGAAAGAATTTGTACATCAGTGCTTCAGCCAAAAGAATGTCTTAAGAGAATTGACATCTGGAAACTATGATCAAGAATGGAACAACCTAAGAAAGAGACCAGTGTGATTGAATTGGGTATGAAAAATCCAAACCCAAGAATGATTGGATGACTGGGAAATGGATATCTACATGAGCTTGTAGTAACACTCTCCTCCACTGAGAAGGAACTGATAGGCTTTGTCACAGTGACAGCTGAAGTGAATGACCAAGCAGTCATCCTTCTTCTCTACGCTCACAGATTCAGCAAATTCTTTCTCACACTCATCCTGCCACAACAACAAAAATGCTTAATTCGCATATTAAAGAATCTGAAAATACAAAGTTAGTGCTTGGTTTGATTGATCGGTTAGAAAGCCATGAAAAATGGAAGAGAAATCAAATTTTCTATCTTGATGTCAGATTATTAAGACCCAAGAAATCTTTTTTCTATCTTTTTTTTCATTTTCTTTGTGATCTTGTTTGTGGGAAACCCAGTATTCTTGAAAACTAAACAGAGAACCCAATACCTCAGCAGCACCAGTATTGCTATGAAAATCTTGATCAGCGGCATCAACAGCCTGTACTTGTGCTTCTTCTTCCACTGCCTGCTGTTGCTCATCTTCATCTTCTTCCATCAAGTCCTCTTCACGCATCAGTTGCTGGCACCAATGGCTCATCTCTCTGAGGCGATCCTTCATCCTCCTCAGCCTCTGCAACAACAGTTTTCCCCAAACCCATTTCAATGACAACTCAAAAATAAAACAATAAAGAACCGAGCTTTCTCACAGATTACAACATAAAACTCCCCAAAACCCATATCAGTAAAAACCCCCAAAAAGAGAGAAAGACTCAAGCTTTTCACAGATTAGAACATTAGAGAATGAAATTCAAGAAAATTTTCTGACCTTGGAATTGGGAGTGTCAATGTCGGTGCCCAGGTCTTGGGAGGAGGTGGAGAAGCGTGAGGAGGCCTTGGCAGGAGAGGGATTGATATCTGAGACGGAGCGGCGGAAGGTGTGGGGAGGAGGCAGGGGAGGCAGTGCACGAGTCGGGGAATGGGATGGAGTCTTGGGGCAGTGGTGGCGATCAGGAGAGTACGGAGGAGTGAAATTGGGCAGAGAACCGCCACAGGTAGAAGCAGAGGAAAGGGAAGGATCAAAGAATGATGGGTTGGCGGCGGTGGCAGAAGGAGGGTTGCAAGGATCGGACATGCAGCGGCGAAGAAGAGGGAGAGAGATCTTGTGGTAGCCATTGCAAGGGAGAGAAGGGTCTGGTTCTGGGTTAGGGTTTGCTGGGCAAGGAAGATGGTGGATGGTTTTGGTGGTGGTGGTGGTTCATGGTGTTTGGTTTCTCTGATTCTTAGTTTCTAGGAAGCTCAGGGATTTGGAATTTGAGTTGCAGAGGAAAATGGAGGGAGTTTGTTTATATAGAGAGGAAGAGAAGCTTAATGGGTAAAACGACAGTCAACAGTTGACAGTTAAACAAGCCGTTACATTTGGCGCCACATAAAAAAGACACGTGCTTCATTATAAGTAGGGGAAAACGACAACAATAGCAACAAGCCCGTCTAGCTCAGTTGGTAGAGCGCAAGGCTCTTAACCTTGTGGTCGTGGGTTCGAGCCCCACGGTGGGCGTTTGTTTTTATACAACAAGTGCTGCAACCTAGTTATTTTCTAGATAATGCGTACAGACTACTAATAAGGCTTCTTCTCCATCGAATGTGAAAATTGTCCGCAACAGGTTTGAGGATCAAGGTGACAGGTCAAAATGTGCTTCCAATAGCGAGTGAACTTCCATTAGGGAAGACAGCTTGAAATCTGGTTTGAAATTGACGTTGGCGTATTCTGGAGAGTCATACGTCCCACTTTCATCAAGCAAGCATGCAACAGCTCCTGCTCGCTTCCCACAAGCCACCTGCAAAGTCAGGCAATTCTTCATAAGCATTTCCAATATTTCTACTTATATCACGGGAATCAAGATCAGATAGCAACTCAGAAATGTAACACACTGCACAGTTGCAATGCAGAAGTTCAGGTTCCTTCAATTATACGGTCAGCATTCTTTTCTCTCAATACAACAAGGCCCATTTATATGGTAGGCATGATGAGTACTGTATCAAAAATAACAAAAAGTGAAGAAAGAGGGAGAGGGGGGATGGCAAGAAAATGGGAATTCTAAAGACATTAATAACCCACTTTTTATGAGAAATTGACAATTTGTTGAAGAAAATGCAAGAAAGTGGGAGATTCTTACATATTGAATCCAAAAACACGTCTGTCATATTTTTCTGAAGACATCTTAAGTAGGCATCATGAGTATGAGCACAAACAATTTGAATTCTCCTCGGGGAGCACAGAGCAAAAATGTACATGAGGACAAATCAGAGTTAATGCATAAAGACGCCTGTTATCATGTTAACATTGCAGACAGTCAACCTTATTAGCATATATGGTTGACAGATGTTGCTTGGAATGTTGGATTTCTTCTCCATATTTATTCCCCAAACAAAAACACTACTGACCTTTTTTCTTGTAGTGTGTATTGTAATGTGTTCTAAAGACAAAACAAAATGATATTGAACAGTAATAGATGATTAACTGTTTACGTGCGATCCTTTTATACACCAATGACTTGGTGCATTTCAATATGCTTGTTCTAATTCGATCTATCAGATGCAGAACCTACTACAGTTAGGGACAGCATTTGTACTACAAGTACCATTTAGTGATCTAATGATTGTTGTTAGTTGCTTACACAGCTTTGTAATTTTTTTTTTCTTTACTAAATTCAGGTCTTACTAATGTAAGTGATCTAAGAGCCTCACCTGGCTTACATGCAACGGGTGATGTGGTAGCTGCAGCTTGGACTTGACATTGAGAAAGTACGCCGAAGAAGCTCTGCATTTGCCAAGACAATTTGCCAGTTTGAATAAATAAATAGACAGCAACTTTCTTGCAAGAAGACGAAAGCAGAAATAAAATTAAGTTCGAAAAAAATAAAAAGTATATTCTATTTTAGAACAAGGTGTCACCTACCACAGCTTGCATTACATTATATTTTAGAACAAGGTGTCACCTGCTACAGCTTGCATTACATTATGTTTTAGAACAAGATGGTCAGAAAACGACAAAGTTGATGAGTTCTTGTTGGGTTCAAATTGAACCAATTTGACCAATTGGCTGCAAATTAGATCAATCTGCAAATTAGATCTGGAGGTTTAGTTGTTTTCGTTTTGGTGAAGAGAGAGTAAGTAGTAGAGAGAATGGCTGAGGCAGTTGTTTCCTTTGTGCTCGAAAGTGTCAGGGACTTCACCATTCAGGAAGCCAAGTTCTTTTCTGGAGTCAGCCAACAAGTTGAGGTCGTACAAACTGAGCTACAATTGATGCAGGGCTTCCTCAAAGATGCAGATGCAAGACAAGAACAAGATGAAACAGTCCGTATTTGGGTTGCCAAGATTAGAGATGCTGCTTATGATTTGGAGGATGTCATCCAAACTTATGGCTTGAAAGTGGATTCCAAGAAGAAAAGAGGTGTGAAGAATGTTTTGAGAAGATTTGCCTGCATCTTCAAGGAAGGGGTTGATGTTCACAGGATTGGGAAAGAAATTGAGAATATCACCACCAGAATTTCTGAGTTGAGGTCGAATTTGCAGAAGTATAACATAAAGGAACTAACAACGGACAGAGACGGTAGTGGTGGTGAATCTTCCTTGCAATTGCAAGAGAGGCTAAGGAGAACTCGTTCTCATGTTGTTGAATGTGATGTTGTTGGGTTAGAGTCCAACGTTGAAGAATTGGTTATGCATTTAGTAAAAGATGAAAATCGTCATCGAGTTGTATCCATTTGGGGTATGGGCGGTTTAGGGAAGACCACCCTTGCAAGACAGCTTTATCATGACAAAAAAGTAAGGCAACATTTTCATAGTTTTGCTTGGGTCTGTGTATCTCAACGTTTTCAAGTAAGAAATGTTTGGGAAGGAATTTTAATTGAACTCATTTCTGCAACCAAGGAACAAAAACAAGAAATTAAGGACATGACAGATGATGAAATAGCAAAGAAGCTTTTCCTTGTTCTGCAAGAAATGAGATGTTTGGTGATACTTGATGACATATGGAGAATCGAGACATGGAATCTTTTGAAGGATGCATTTCCAAATGTGAAAACAGAGAGCACAATATTGCTTACAACACGCAATCAAGCAGTAGCTTTGCCCCCGAATAGAAATGCTTTTCTCCACGAACTCCAGGCACTAAAGGAGAAAAAGAGCTGGGAACTATTTGAGAAGATAGCAATATCTGGAAGGGCTGATATCGGTAATTCTCACCCTTACTCTTTTCTTTTCCAGGTTCTTAGTTATATAGCAAGCCAAATAGAAACCATTACATTGCATATGACACAACTTATGTAGTGATTTTTTTTTCTATTATTCATTCATTGTTGGGATTACCCTTTACAATTTTTTAATATTGTCAAACCGCCTTACTTGGTCACACATTTGTTAGGTAGCAGATGATTTATCTTATGCAATTGCAAAAATTTATTGTCCAGATTTAATCTTGAATGTTTTCCATTTGGCATGTGTTATAAAATCCAAACTTAATTATAATAAGACAAAGGACATTAGTAAATTTTGGAATTTCACAATTTTAATTTTTAATCATTCGAGCAAAGGGATACGCACCACAATTGCTCATACTACAAGAATGTATTTGATTTTTATTTCTTTCTTATTTTTCAGATTTGGGAATTTTCACAAAGAAAAGAGAATTAGGAATGAAGATGCTTCGACACTGTGCAGGATTGCCACTAGCCATTATTGTGCTTGCCGGAGTTCTAGCAAGAAAAAACACTGTTAGAGAGTGGGAGAGAGTGCATGAGAATGTTCATGAATACATAAGGAGAGGGATAGGTCATGAAGAAGAATATGAAGGTGCATCATGGGTTTTGGCATTGAGTTATGATGACCTACCGTATTACTTAAAACCATGTTTTTTATATTTAGGTCATTATCCTGAAGACTCTGAGTTTTTGGTGAGCGAATTGACTAAGTTATGGGTGGCAGAAGGTCTTATCTCCTTAAGACAACAAAGACATGGTTCGAGGGAAACAATGGAGGATATAGCACATAATTGCTTAAGTGAGTTGGTGGAAAGGTGTTTGGTTCAAGTGGGAACAAGTGGTTCAACTGGAACAATTAAAGGTTGTCGAATCCATGATCTTGTACGAGACATGTGTTTGTTAAAGGCAAAAGATGAAAGCTTTCTCCAAATTAACAATTCTTTGCAAGAAAATAATTCTTCTGTGGCAGCCGAGGCAGCACAATTGGGGAAAATTCGAAGACTTGCAATTTACTTGGATGAGAAGGCAGATAGGTTGGTTTCTTCAAGAGATGAAACAAATGGGCACGTAAGGTCTCTATTATACTTTTTTCCACAAAGATGGATGCCAAGAAATATAGAAGGATTACTATCTCATTTGAAGGATTTCAAAGTGCTTAGAGTTTTGAAGGTTGAATGTCTTAATCAAGTCGAAGTTGAGTTGCCAAGTGAAATTGGAAATATGGTACACTTAAGGTTTCTAAGTGTGAAGTGGAGTGATATAAAAAAGTTTCCGCCATCCCTAGGTAATTTAGTATGCTTGCAAACTCTTGATTTTCGTGTTTCAAATTATGTCGCCGTGGTCATCCCAAATGTGATAATGAAGATGAAACAATTAAGACATTTAAATTTACCCAGAAATTACAGAGCAAAGGGTAAGCTGGAGCTGTCTACTCTTGGCCATCTACAAACCTTATATAACCTTTCAAGTGAGTATTGTGATTTGAAAGATGTTGGCAGATTAACCAATCTTAGAAAACTGGTGATAATAGTGTCAAGCTCTTTGCAAAATATGGAGGAAATCTTAAAATCTATCGGCAGCACGCTTAACCGTATCCGGTCTCTACTTGTGTTTGTGGACAACAATAGCTGTGAAGAGCAAGCTATGCAAATAGTATCAAGCTGTCGGGGTATATACAAATTGAAGTTGCAAGGCCCAACCGCAGAATTACCGAAAGAGCTCCACAACTATCCAAACCTCACCAAGTTAGAATTGGCTAGGTGTGGTCTCAAGGAGGACCAAATGGGAATACTAGAGAAGCTGCCAAACCTAACAACTCTGAACCTTAAGAGTCAAGCTTTCAAGGAGAATACAAAGATACTGGTTTTCTCCAAAGAGGGCTTTCCTTCTCTTCAATATCTTTTCGTTAATGGTATGTTCGGAATAACAGAGTGGAGAGTAGAGGAAGGAGCCATGCCTCGTCTCTGTCGATTGAACATCACGTATTGCTCGGGATTGACTACACTTCCAGATGGGCTGAGATATCTTACTAATCTCAGGGAATTAACCATAAGAGGGATGCGTAGAGAACTCCACCGTCGGATTGAGGAAGATGGAGAGGATTTCTATAAAATTCAACATGTACCTTCCCTTGTAATTGGAGAACCGATGCAATGATGGCAAGGTAATTTCTTTCCTTTAATTTTTTAATTTTAAAGCGAAATGGGTGGTTTGGTTTGTGTTGATTAGTTATAAAATGAAGCAGAGAGAGAATATTAAAGTAGAAAAGCCAACAGAATATGGGCTCCCTTGTTTAGCTATGTTTTATTTCTCCATTTTTATTGCTTTTTGCTTGTGCTTGTGAGTTGTCAGTCCTGAACCCTGATCCTTTAAATCATTTTTTCCTTTTTTTTTTTTTTTTTTTTTTTTTTTTTTTTTTTTTTTTTTTTTTTTTTGCACCATTGCCTTTACATCTAGTTTTCCTTGTTTATCGACCATTTATAATTCCATCGCATTCTGAATTCAAGTTTTGTAGTTCCATGGGAATCTTATAAGAAGTTTTTTGTCTCCATAAATTTTGAAAATAATTTCCTAGTATATCCTTCTTCAATGCTTGTTAAGATACACCACCATTGGATTTTCTTTTTGAAAGTAAAGTAAACTGCTGAATTTGTGTTATGGTAGCTATTTGCAGGTAGGAAGGAACTGAGTATGTCGAAGCTCTGCAGCAGAGTGAGCACGTGCGAAGCTGAACTTACCTGGAGAAGAAAGAAATGCTCTGTGAAAATCAAGAGGAGAAAAGATGTGGTCATGTAATTCAAAGTTCGTTATAAGTCTTTGGGTCTGGTGGTTGTCCAACAGTACATTTATAATACACAACTGAAATTATTTGTATTCCTCTTTCGTGTTTGTTTTCAATTATGAATATTTGAGCCTGTGGACATCATGCCTATGTTTATTTCACGGTTCAGCACCATTTAACATGATGCAACAACTTCAGCTTTGTCACAGAAACTACGATTGAAACTGATATCCGAGATGAAGCCTCTTTCTAAGTCATCGAGCGGTTTGGAGAAAACGAACAGCATTGAGGCAATCCTAGATTCCTCTCGTACCTTCACTTCTCCTGCTCTCGTTAAAATGCAACCATATGAAGTAGCTGCTTCACCTCTACATTACCGATTCTCACTCGGGTAATCCTGCATATTGCTCCCACTTTCAATGGGCTTGCTATATGAAAACCAGAGTCGATCATAAAATAAAAGTAGTTCTTTCACCTTTATGCCTCAGATTCTCTCTCGCGTCTGTAGATAAAAACTGAACCATATACCACTCTACCCACCCTTCTACTTTTCTGACTTCTTCTACTCAAACCTCTCTTCCTCTCCTTCCCAACAACAGCTTCTGACATGGGTAAATTACAAAGCCATCCTAAAGGAAGTAAAGCCGCAATGAACTGTACCAGAATTCCAAAAGGCAGGCTTGAGTAGTCGCCTGCTGTTACTCCAATCAGAGAAGCCAATCCAACGCCTAAAAACCCACTAGCTATTGATGATAAACACAAGGCTGATGCTAAGAAAGAAGTCAGAGATCCTTCACAACCTCGAGGACATAAACTCGCAAATAGCACTGTGAAAGGTAAAATTTTGAATTGCGCAATAATTTCTGCTAACCCCGAAAAACGAAGAACAAACACCTCATTCAGAATCCCCAGTCTAACATTGATTTGTCTTACTAAAATAAGGTCAAGAAGAAGTAAAAAGGCATACACAAGTTGCACCACACCAACCAACTTTCTCATGGGAATTTTTTTCCAATAATAGTCATAAAGTACGGCAGTGGAAAGAAGCATCAATTGGCCAATCACTCGAGACATGCCAATGACTGAAGGATCACGATGTAGACATTGTGTTTGGTAGCAAAAGATGGAACCTTACAGGACAGGAACCATGGCAATAGAAGCTACTATCCAAGTAAGAGGACGGACAATACTTTCCTCTTGAATTCCCATCATCAGCTCAGAAAATAGTTTTCTAATACTTTCAAAGATTGGCTTCCTTATAAGATAGTGATCTGGCAATTGTGGTAAACCAAGAGATTCCTCTCTTATTCTCAATGAAATTGCAAGTTGAGCGGAAAGTAACACTGAAAATACGAGAAACATGGTTCTTGGTGGTGTTTTCATTAAGAAATAACCACCTATTAAGTTACCAAGGATTCCACCAGCAGCTGATGCCATGAATGCATAAGATTGGAGGCCTTTCATATTTTTTTCTTGCCCGTACTCTGCAACAAGAGCATCCTGTGCTACTTCTGTAATGGATGCTCCAAGATTACTAAGAAGAACACATGCCATAAGGTTAGGAAGGGCTTTAGCTGCAACAGGGATAACTGCCATTGGCCCCCAAGATAGGACCTGTAAAAGAACTGAAAATTTGAACTCCATTAGAAATAGCCCATAGGTTCTTAGAGGACAAATATACCCTTTTTTTAATTGCCTTTCCAAATGGTTCATATTACTTTCTGATTGATACCTATGTTAACACACCATTAAACAGTGTTTTTAGGTTCCTCTTCAACATTGTTGCAACTTGCAAGGAAAGCAGCATAAGGTTAAGCTACCTTTCACAGGGATATGAGCACAAAAAGCAGTAAAATTTGTCAAATTTAAAGAGAGAAGTTTCCTTACATTTAGGAATCTCTAACATATAAGAGACAAATAGAATCTCTAACATAATCAAAATGCAAGAAAGCAAAACCAATCAAAGGAAAGAACAAAAACAATATAAACAAGCAACATGAACAAAAAGCACAAACAATATGACTTAACATTTAAAAAACATATTAAAATTGAACAGATTTCTCTACAACAATGACAGAAAACAGAGCGCATGAACATATTAAAACAAGGAAATATCAACAAAATTGACAAAAACGGAATGACATCAATGAAATAAGGCAAGGGAATTGTAACTAACCTCCAATGGAAATATAAGGTAATCTATGCGCACCAGAAATGTAAAGAGTATCAGAGAGGATTCCATAAAGGGTTTGGCCACCATGGGAAGGTTACCAGAATGCTGTACGAGCTGCAATGTTGAGGGGTGCATGTTAAGATTGTGAGCCATATGGAAGTTCAACGCCAGCCATGGAAAGCACCTAAAACCTTGCATCCAGTACCCAAATCCACACAGAAACAACATTTGCTGGCTACCCAGTTGGGGAAAACCTCTTCTTTCCTCATGAATCCTGCTCCTCTTGGTTTTTCTGTAAATAACTTGGGTTGGGTTTATCAAGATGGGGCTTCTGAGCTGGGTTTTGGGTTCTGTTGGGTTCACAGGGCTGTTAATGGTGTCTGGGTTTTGGCGGTGAAAACTAAGGATGGGATTTAAGTGAAAAGGACGTTGCTTTGTTGAAGGTCTGAGGACTTTTGGGCTGATTGTTGTCCATGGATTTTCAGAAGAAACTGATGAATAAATCATGGTATATTACTAATTTGGTACTTTTAAAAAGAAAAATGCAAAACCAAGAAAGAAATGAAATGAGGTGCCTCTATAAACCTCTCTATATGCTTCTATTCTATATGCAGTATTGGCTGAAAGTAACGACGAGGAAAAGTAGCAGTGTGGAAAAGACAAGAGACTTTGTTATTTAATAAATAATATAAGTTGGCAGCTGAATCGCTCTGAGAAGAAGAAAGAATATAGACAAGTGTATGACTGTAGTGAAGGGTTTAGTAATTTTGAAGTAGAGAGAGAGAGAGAGAGAGAGAGAGAGAGAGAGTGAAGAGCATAGCCTCCTCCTTCTCTAGCTCAGCCTGAGGCTGATGGATACCTTGTTTTTGGAGGTGTGTTTGTCTTTGTCTGTTCATGGTGTACTTATTTTGCTTGTCTGCATTGTCTTGCTGTCTTTTGGAAATTGGGAGGTTGGGCCATGTGTTTCACACGCGCCCCTGTGGAGCTAGTGGGTCCGAGGAAATAGGGAGGGGCCAGCACACGAGAGTGGTAAGTGTGGGGGTGGGCCCTATATGTAGATTTGTTTTAGGTCAATTTCGTGGAACTGACTCTGACCCGACCCAATCATCGGAGAGGATCTGAGTAGTAGAGGGACTGATTGGGACTGCATATGAGATGTTGGATATGGACGCTCCGTATATGACCGTCCGTTTTTGGACAACTGTTGGGAGTTTCACACGCGCGGCAGGCACCGAATGCAAGGTTGGTAGAAGAGCAAAGCGCGTGGGATTATAATATCAGGTCATTTTGTTGTGAATTTAGTAATTTTATGTGAAGTTGTCTAAATAATTAGTAATCAAATCAAGTCTTCAGCCTTCTTCCACCGTTGGAGTTGGGTTTAAATTAATCTAATCTGAAGCAGTGGGATTCGAGTTTTGGTATAAAAGAAGGGTTGGCCCACGGTTTTAACTAATTGACTTAATTCATATTTGCAAATTTAGAATTTTAAGATAAAAAAAGAGCAAAATTATTATTATTATGGAATTTTAAAGGGAGTTCCACTAAAACACCCAAAATGGGGGCTGAAATTATAAAAAAACTCAACACCTAAAACACTTTATAAACACACTCAAAACCCATCATTACACACACTCAAAACCCATTTATAAACACACCCAAAAAAATATACAATTGTTGATTTTGGGTGTGTTTCTATGTTTAAATAGTGCTTGGGTTTTTTTATAAATACATGTCTAGAATTGGGTTTATTTATAAATTTGTAAATTTTAAATGCAGCTGAAAAATTCGCTATTTTCACTAAGATAATGGAGGAAGGTGAGTACCGAACTTTGATGCTAAAGAATCGAATGTTAATCAATTTATATTATAATGTATGTATCTATATCTTAATATTATACTTTAGATTTATGATATATAAAGTCTCTCATTCACCTATATTATAACACATGAATTGATAACATCACGTGATGGTGTGACAATCAAACCTTAGAATTTCTCTCTCATATAATTTGTATGTACACATGTCAACGTCTTAATTGTTGAAAATAAATGAAATCTTTGGCCCGAATTTAACCAAATGACTGACTTAACACATTATTTAGGGAATATGACTTCATAAAGAAATTTGGTGTGTAACATTACTTCTCAACTAACATTGCATTATACACAAACATTGTTGGGTGCATGGGTTCTGAACCTCGCCCATAGGGCTTAAGGCCAATCACTTGTACTAAAAAAAAATCATCTTTGCTTAAAAACAAGAGTAATACAATGTGCAATCGATGTACGTAACGTCCTCTAATTTCCAAATGCTACCACTTATTGTAATGTTGTCACCAAAACTATAACTAATTCATAGCGTTATGGTTGTAATGTATGTTTGTAATGTTCACCCTATTTTTCATTTCTTCATTCAAGAAGACGAGAGCAAACCCCGGGGGAAAGTGCCCCTCATGTAAGCAAAAGTCTCATTCTTTTGAGTACCCTTTACTCAAGACGAGACCGTTAATGATTTCTAAGTTTTCCTCTGACTTTTTGTTGTTTTTTTAAAGAAAATCTTTCACTGAACAAAGCGAACCCAAATATATAAAGTACGGTACACACTGGTACCACTGCATGCACATGCTCAGAATTGCTAAAGGTGGAGTAAGATTATAGTTAGTCTACTCCCATTCAGTTGCAAGATACGCAAATGACTGAAATCAGCATGAAAATGTTTCTGAGATGCCTAACTATTCAGATGTTTCTGAGATACCCATCTTTAATTCTTTTGGTTCCTGAGAATATAAATCAAATCATCTAAAAGCAGAACGATTTTTCAACTCAATATTTCACTCATGGCTTCAAAAGAAGAAGGATCATACATTCATTCACAAGAGAATCAGGAAATTTTATTCATTTGTAAAACTGATATCAGAAAGAATTTGTACATCAGTGCTTCAGCCAAAAGGAATGTCTTAAGAGAATTGACATCTGGAAACTATGATCAAGAATGGAACAACCTAAAGAAAGAGACCAGTGTGATTGAATTGGGTATGAAAAATTCAAACCCAAGAATGATTGGATAACTGGGAAATGGATATCTACATGAGCTTGTAGTAACACTCTCCTCCACTGAGAAGGAACTGATAGGCTTTGTCACAGTGACAGCTGAAGTGAATGACCAAGCAGTCATCCTTCTTCTCTACGCTCACAGATTCAGCAAATTCTTTCTCACACTCATCCTGCCACAACAACAAAAATGCTTAATTCGCATATTAAAGAATCTGAAAATACAAAGTTAGTGCTTGGTTTGATTGATCGGTTAGAAAGCCACGAAAAATGGAAGAGAAATCAAATTTTCTTTCTTGATGTCAGATTATTAAGACCCAAGAAATCTTTTTTCTATCTTTTTTTTTCATTTTCTTTGTGATCTTGTTTGTGGGAAACCCAGTATTCTTGAAAACTAAACAGAGAACCCAATACCTCAGCAGCACCAGTATGCTATGAAAATCTTGATCAGCGGCATCAACAGCCTGTACTTGTGCTTCTTCTTCCACTGCCTGCTGTTGCTCATCTTCATCTTCTTCCATCAAGTCCTCTTCACGCATCAGTTGCTGGCACCAATGGCTCATCTCTCTGAGGCGATCCTTCATCCTCCTCAGCCTCTGCAACAACAGTTTTCCCCAAACCCATTTCAATGACAACTCAAAAATAAAACAATAAAGAACCGAGCTTTCTCACAGATTACAGCATAAAACTCCCCAAAGCCCATATCAGCAAAAACCCCAAAAAGAGAGAAAGACTCAGGCTTTTCACAGATTAGAACATTAGAGAATGAAATTCAAGAAAATTTTCCGACCTTGGAATTGGGAGTGTCAATGTCGGTGCCTAGGTCTTGGGAGGAGGTGGAGAAGCGTGAGGAGGCCTTGGCAGGAGAGGGATTGATATCCGAGACGGAGCGGCGGAAGGTGTGAGGAGGAGGCAGGGGAGGCAGTGCATGAGTCGGGGAATGGGATGGAGTCTTGGGGCAGTGGTGGCGATCAGGAGAGTACGGAGGAGTGAAATTGGGCAGAGAACCGCCACAGGTAGAAGCAGAGGAAAGGGAAGGATCAAAGAATGATGGATTGGCGGCGGTGTCAGAAGGAGGGTTGCAAGGATCGGACATGCAGCGGCGAAGGAGAGGGAGAGAGATCTTGTGGTAGCCATTGCAAGGGAGAGAAGGGTCTGGTTCTGGGTTAGGGTTGCTGGGCAAGGAAGATGGTGGATGGTTTTGGTGGTGGTGGTGGTTCATGATGTCTGGTTTCTCTGATTCTTGGTTTCTAGGAAGCTCAGGGATTTGGAATTTGAGTTGCAAGTTGCAGAGGAAAATGGAGGGAGTTTGTTTATGTAGAGAGGAGGAGAAGTTTAATGGGTAAAACAACAGTCAACAGTTGACAGTTAAACAAGCCGTTACATTTGGCGCCACATAAAAAAGACACGTGCTTCAGTATAACTAGAGGAAAACGACGACAATAGCAACTAGCCCGTCTAGCTCAGTTGGTAGAGCGCAAGGCTCTTAACCTTGTGGTCGTGGGTTCGAGCCCCACGGTGGGCGTTTGACTTATATTTTATATTTTTGCTACTTTTAACTCTAACACCACATTTGTATGGGTTCAAACCATTTCCACAAATATATTGGTTCTTGGTAACTGGTAATGAGCTTTTACCAGGCCAAGTACAACACGAATTTTAAAACTAAAACAAGTCTGGTAGAAATTGATTGGTCTTCCGCCTAACTGGTTTCTAGTAGAAATTTTCTACTAGTTCCTTCCTCTTCCTCTTCCTCTTTCACTTTCAGGTTGCAGTTTCTTTGCTTCTAATCGTTTCGGGGAGCAAAGAGCAAGCCATACAACAAGTGCTGCAACCTAGTTCTTTTCTAGATAATGCGTACAGACTACTAATAAGGCTTCTTCTCCATCGAATGTCAAGATTGTCCACAACAGGTTTGAGGATCAAGGTGACAGATCAAAATGTGCTTCCAATAGCGAGTGAACTTCCATTAGGGAAGACAGCTTGAAATCTGGTTTGAAATTGACGTTGGCCTATTCTGGAGAGTCATACCTCCCACTTTCATCAAGCAAGCATGCAACAGCTCCTGCTCGCTTCCCACAAGCCACCTGCAAAGTCAGATAACTAAACTACTGAATTGTAATATGTTCTTGAGACAAAAGAAAATAATATGGAACAGAAATAGATGAATAACTCTTTACGTGCAATCCTTTTCTACACCAATGACTTGGTGCATTTCAATATCCTTGTTCTAATTCGATCACATTGTCCTGGCCAAATATGTAAATACTAATATGAACCCTTCAATCCATTGACAACGTAGCGATATTCTACACTATGTAAGGTGGCAGGCACATTGTCTTGCCCAATTGACTTAAGCCATATTGTTCGCCATCCATGCTACCATTGCATAGATAAAAATTGCATATCAATTTTTATTTTTATTTTTTGGGTTGGGAAAAATCAAGAATATAATACGAAGAACAATAGAACTGACAATGGGTTTTGAGGTTTCTTGTTAACGAAAAATGGGCTTCATTTGGCCATTACCTTTTTCGATTTAATCATATCCAAAACATTAACTTCCAATGAGGCCCTTCTCTTGTGCCCATTTCTATGCACCCAAACCGAACAAAAAACAACCTTCCCATTCCCATCAGTTCTAGTGTGGAGTCGTTCTCTTCTATTACGTGGACCGCCATATATGGTCTTTAGGTGTACACCTGTATTATTCGTCGTAGGATTAAATTGAACCTTCCGGATTTGGATCTCTGAGTGGAATTTCTTTTGCACAATTGGGGCCATATGGTCATCATCAAAGACTTTGCCATACGGTGTTGATTGAGAGGAGGAGGATGATAATCAAGTGAGAAACGGGGAAGCTGCTGAAACATAACAGAGAGATTGCCCTGTTTACTTTGAAACTTCTGATCAAGCAGTGTGTATTCACATGGAGAATAAGCTAATCACGAAGTGTCAACCTGTCCTGCTTCTTTTCCATCTTCTTGGTGGAGAAACTGCCTAAATTAAAAACCTTTCAGCTTTCTTCTTTTTGGTGCAAACTTTAAGCTTTCTTTGCTTTCTATTTTTTTATTTTATTTTAAATTAGGTTCGTCAAGAGATATCTTTGTCATGTGTTGATGGGTCTGGTAGGTAGGCCTATGGTTGTCATTTCAAATGTGTAAGTGGAGGTCTCCTTTTATCATTGAGATGTATATCTTTCTGAGAAATTGCGTGGAAATGTAAAAGAAAGTTGCTTTTGTTTTCTTTTCTGAAAAGCACAAATTAAAGCACAATCACTTTGATTTCTTTCTTCTTCTTTTTTTAAAAGAAAGTGTGCTATCATTCCGAGTCGGGAACTATTTGGTAAAGCTCTCTTCCAAAATTGTTTTAAAACCTACAACATCCACCAGGGGACAAAAACGTCCAATTATTTTTAATCAGTTAGTCTTCTAGTTGACGTTACATAAATGTTTGCATGCTTGTATTGAATTTCTTGAGCATAAGTGGGATATGGATCAAAGACTTGCTTTTTTTCTGTTTGGTCCAACATCCAAAAAACGATTAACATGAAAAGACCCCTTAAGGTTTGGAGTCATTATCAATATGAGTCATAGGTTTCAATTTCATCATCTTATTGAGTGTATTGTGGAGGACATTAACGCATTGCTTAAAAGATTTGCCGCACACCAATTCATGCTACTTTTAGATATGCAGATGGGGCTGTTCATAGAGTATCACAATTATGCTCTACAGCCTCTACATAGAGGTGGCTCTGCGTTTGTAGGACGCTATGTTGGAAGCTATATTTTTCTTGTACCGTGGAGGTTATCTTTAAAATAAAAAATAAAAAAACGCAGCTCCAATAGTCCAAGGCTGGTCACATCAGCTTAAAATAAGGTTTTCTTTTTCTTTTTTCACACTTGATGATATCGTGTATCCCTGTCCACCACACAAACAACAATACCTCTATCCCCTCTCTCACTCTTAAATTATACAACTTGCATTGGATGCTTGTGGTACAATGGTAGTTGAGGGACTGATAAAGAGATATTGTCATCAATCAATCTAAAAACTAGATCTGGTTTACTTGTTTTCGTTTTGGCCAAGAGAGAGTAAGTAGTAGATAGAATGGCTGAGGCAGTTGTTTCCTTTGTGCTCGAAAGTGTCAGAGACTTCACCATTCGGGAAGCCAAGTTCTTGACTGGAGTCAGCGATCAAGTTGAGGTTGCACAAAATGAGCTGCAATTGATGCAGGGATTCCTGAAAGATTTGGATGCAAGACAAGGAGAAGGTGCAACAGTCCAGATTTGGGCTGCCCAAATTAGAGATGCTGCTTATGATTTAGAGGATGTCATCCAAACCTATGGCTTAAAAGTGGTTTCCAAGAAGAAAAGAGGCCTCAAGAATGTTCTCAAAAGATTTGCCTGCATCTTCAAGGAAGGGGTTGATGTTCACAGGATTGGGGCAGAAATTGAGAATATCACTACCAAAATTTCGGCGTTGAGATCGAGTTTGCAGAGTTATAACATAAGGGAAAAGGACAGCAGTGGTGGTGAATCTTCCTTGCAATTGCATGAGAGGCTAAGGAGAAGTTATTCTCATGTTGTTGAACGTGATGTTGTTGGGTTAGAGTCCAACGTTGAAGAATTGGTTATGCATTTGGTGAAAGATGAAAACCGTCATCAAGTTGTATCTGTTTGGGGTATGGGCGGTTTAGGGAAGACCACCCTTGCAAGAAAGGTTTATCATCACAAAAAAGTAAGGCAGCATTTTCATAGTTTTGCTTGGGTCTGTGTATCTCAACGATTTCAAGTCAGAAATGTTTGGGAAGGAATTTTAATTGAACTCATTTCTGCTACCTGGGAACAAAAACAAGAAATTAGGGACATGACAGATGATGAAATAGCAAAGAAGCTTTTCCATGTTCTGCAAGAAATGAGATGTTTGGTGATACTTGATGACATATGGAGAACCGAGGCATGGAATCTTTTGGAAATTGCATTTCCAAATGTGGAAACAGAGAGCACAATATTGCTTACTACACGCAATCAAAAAGTAGCCACGCTCCCAAATAGAAATGCTTTTCTCCACAAACTCCAGCCACTCAATGAGAATGAGAGTTGGAACCTACTTGAGAAGAAAGCAATATCTGAAAGGGCTGATATCGGTATTTCCTCACCCTTAACTCTTTTCTCTTCTAGGTTCTTAGTTATAATTTTTTAATATTGTCAAACATGTAGCAATTTTTGGCAAAAAAAGAAGAAGAAAAAGAACAAGTAGTGATTGCAATTTTATAAACTGCCTTACTTGGTCACATATTTGTTAGGTAGCAGATAATTTATCTTATGCAATTGTAAATAATAATCAGGACAATGCTAGACAATTCAAAATTTTCTCCCAACCTTCTCTTCAATCCAGATTTAATTTTTGAATCTTCTCCATTTGGCATGTGTTATAAAATCCAAACTTATAATAGGACAAAGGATATTACTAAATTTCGGGATTTCACAATATAAATGTCTTAATTGGCATCCTTTGCTATTTCATCATCTGTCATGTCCTTAATTTCTTGTTTTTGTTCCTTGGCATACTCATACTACAAGAATGCGTTTGATTTTTTTCTCTTTCTTATTTTTAGATTTGGGAATGTACACAAAAAAGAGAGAATTAGGAAAGAATATGCTTCGACATTGTAAAGGTTTGCCATTAGCCATTATTGTGCTTGCCGGAGTTCTAGCAAGAAAAAATACTGTTAGAGAGTGGGAGATAGTGCATGAGAATGTTCATGAATACATACGGAAAGGGATAGGTCATGAAGAAGAATATGACGGTGCATCATGGGTTTTGGCATTGAGTTATGATGACCTACCGTATCACTTAAAACCATGTTTTTATATTTAGGTCATTATCCTGAAGATTGTATTATTTCGGTAAGCACATTGACTAAGTTATGGGTGGCAGAAGGTCTTATCCTCTTAAGACAACAAAGACGTGGTTCGGAGAAAACAATAGAGGATATAGCACGTGATTGCTTGAGTGAGTTGGTGGAAAGGTGTTTGGTTCAAATGGGAACAAGTGGTTCAACTGGGACAATTAAAGATTGTCGAATCCATGATCTTGTACGAGACATGTGTTTGTTAAAGGCAAAAGATGAAAGCTTTCTCCAGATTAACTACTCTTTGCAAGTAAATACTTCTTCTGTGGCAGTCGAGGCAGAACAATTGGGGAAAATTCGAAGACTTGCAATTTACGTGGATGAGAAGGCAGATAGGTTGGTTTCTTCAAGAGATGAAACAAATGGGCATGTAAGGTCTCTATTATTCTTTGGCCTAAGTGAATGGAGGCCAAAAAATGAAAAAGGATTACTTTCTCCATTGATGGATTTCAAAGTGCTTAGAGTTTTGAAGGTGGAAGGTCTTTATGGAGTAGAAGTTGAGTTGCCAAGTGAAATTGGAAATATGGTACACTTAAGGTTTCTAAGTGTGAAGAATACAAGAATAAAAAGGTTTCCTCCATCCCTAGGTAATTTAGTATGCTTGCAAACTCTTGATTGTCGTGTTTGGAATAACCATGTGGTCGTCCCAAATGTGATAAAGAAGATGAAACAATTAAGACATTTATATTTACCCTGGGAGTACAGAGCAAAGGGTAAGCTGGAGCTGTCTACTCTTGGCCATCTACAGACCTTATATAACATTTCAAGCGAGTATTGTGATTTGAAACATGTTGGTAGATTAACCAATCTTAGAAAACTGAAAATAATTCTGTCAAGCTCTTTGCAAAATCTGGAGGAAATCTTAAAATCTACAGGCAGTACGCTTAACCGTATCCGGTCTCTAATTTTTTGGAACAATTCTGGAACGAATAGCAGTGCAGAGCAAGCTATGCAAATAGTATCAAGCTGTCGGGGTATATACAAATTGACGTTGTATGGGCCAATCGCAGAATTACCGGAAGAGCCCCACAACTATCCAAACCTCACCAAGTTAGTATTGTGGAATTGCGGTCTCAAGGAGGACCAAATGGGAATACTAGAGAAGCTGCCAAACCTAACAAATTTGAAGCTTTTTAAAAATGCTTTCAATGGGAATACAAAGATACTGGTTTTCTCTAAAGGAGGCTTTCCTTCTCTTCAATTTCTTCTTGTTTTTTCCATGGACAAAGTAACAGTGTGGAGAATAGAGGAAGGAGCCATGCCTCGTCTCTGTCGATTGAAAATTGGATATTGCTCGGGATTGACTACACTTCCAGATGGGCTGAGATATCTTACTAATCTCAAGGAATTAACCATCATAGGGATGCGTAGAGAACTCCACAGTCGGATTCAAGAAGATGGAGAGGATTTCTATAAAATTCAACATGTACCTTCCCTTGTAATTGAAGAAATATTCGATTAACCACCACTGATGCAATGATGGCAAGGTAATTTCTTTCTTTTAATTTTTAAATTTTAAAGCGAAATGGGTGCATTTTAAAGCGAAATGGGTGGTTTGGTTTGTGTTGATTAGTTATAAAATGAAGCAGAGAGAGAATATTAAAGTAGAAAAGCCAACAGAATATGGGCTCCCTTGTTTAGCTATGTTTTCTTTCTCCATTTTTATTGCTTTTTGCTTGCGCTTGTGACTTGTGTTGTGAGTGAGAAGCTTAAAATTCCTTACTTTGAGGCCAAATATCTTATAATAATATTTGATTTGTTTTCTTTGTCCATTTTGATTGCTTTTTGATTGTGCTTGTGAGTTGTGAGTGAGAAACTTTAATGTAAAAGCCAACAGGTTAAATTTCCTTATTTTATTACTTATAAACTTTAATATGATAATTCTATCGCATTCCAAAATCTTATAATAATATTTCAAGGCCAACAGGTTAAAATACATCACCGTTAGATTTAGATGTTCCTTTTGAAGTCAATCAAGTAAGAGTACGTTGAATATTTATGTGCATTTCAGAATCTTTCCATTGCTACGCGAACAACAATTAGAAAGCTCCACTCCATAAGTTTTTTTTCTAGTTGATCATGTTAACAAGAAGTTATCCCTTGTTGTTTTAGTAAAAACATAAAACACAAAGCTTAAATATATATACTTTCTTTTTTGGCATACTAGATAAATTGTCACGTACAAGAATATAGATTGAAACGAGTGTTTTTCTTTAAAAAATGTAGTACGATATTACTACAATGTTTATATTGGAGTGCAATTTTCACAAGTAAACTGCTAAATTTGTGTTATGGTAGCTAGCTGCAGGTAGGAACTGATATTGAGAAAGTATGTCGAAGGTCTGCGGCAGAGGGAGCATGTGGGAAGCTAAACTTACAGAAAGAAGAAAGAAATGCTCTGTGAAAATCAAGAGGAGCAAAGATGCGGTCAAGTAGTTTAAAGTTCGTTACAAGCTTTTGGGTCTAGTGGTTGTCCAAAAGTACATTTATATTACACAACTGAAATTATTGTATTAATTAAAATCTCCTTGATGAAACCTTGTATTTGTATTCCTCTTTCGTGTCTGTTTTAATCATGAATAGTTGAGCCCGTGGGCACATGCCTTTGTTTATTTCACGGTTAGCATTCCCAACTTGGTCCCATATGCCATATGGTATGATTTTACAAAATCCTTGCCAGCTTATGGTGGGAGAATTTTTAAAAAAAAATGATTGGTAGATTCGCTCGACATTTAATTCCTGCACAAGAGATTTTAGAGATCTTTTTCTTTCTATTCAGAAACAATTGTCATCTGTGAAATTTGAGGTTCGAGGACTCCAACAAAGTAAAAATTGCGTGTCACTAAGTCAAATTGTTATTAGCAAGGATGTTAGAGATTAAAAAAGTTGTACAAAATGATGTGACAATTTATGTGGATGGTGATATGTATCATGTCATTTTCTCCTGTTCTCTAACAAAAGAAGAGACTCTTGGTTTTATGGAAAAGGAAGTAGGAGGCTAGAACTCACCTGAGTCTCATGTTGGGGTCATTTTTATACATGATTTATCATGTCATTCACCTAATGTTTTGACTTAGTTCTTGACATTTTATAGCATTTTGCTTCCATTTTGGCGTTTTTATAGATTTTATCTTGGTTGAAATAAATGTGAGCTAAAAGTGTATTATTGAATATAAATTCTGGTTTTGCTCATTTTCGTAGGTCAACTTATTGACCGTGGATCACCATGCTCCGGTGCTCGGATGAGGTGAAGCTCTTCATCAAACTTGTTCCGATGGATGTTAACTACAACATATCCGAATTTGAGCTCCATTGAATCAGTATAGCCTAGTCAACAAATCCAGCATTGATCCTAACTCTGGAATTATGGTTTGGACCACCTTTATCTCCACTGGATGTCACCCTTCCTTTTCTACTTATTACCACACCACTTGGTAACAATATTTTACCTCGGTAAGCTGGGATCTCATTCTAGCTAGTTGGATCCCACATAAGGTATTAAAATTCAAAGAAATGATGAAATAGGGACATTAGCCCACCAAGCTTTAGGAAAAAGGGGAGTACCCTATGGATTGGTGAGTTGGCAAGGGAGAGAGGGCAGCTAGAGGGACGAAATCAGCTGATCATTCGAGACACACTGAGGATTTTCTGAAAAGCAAAGAGTATCCAAGCAAAGAAAGCAATACCCAAGAGAAGATGAAGAAGTCATTCCACCATTCAAGGCTTTTGTGCTTTCACCTTCACAAAATTTGTAAACTCTTTCTAGTTATATTTGTGTTTGTAATAAGCATGAAGAACTAAACCTCATAGCTAGGGCTTAGGTTGAAGCCCTAAATATGAATACTCTATTGTTTTGATGCTTGAGTTTATGGATTTCTATATGTTGTTGATGAATTCCTCTTCACTAAATTAATTTATCTTTGATGTATGTTTTCTTTGATTGATCACCCTTGAAAGCATACTTATTGAGATTGTTAGGATTATATGTATCTTCATATTTTCCTAAGGAACTAATGGATGGAGTGAGAATCATTCATGTAAATTGGTTTCTTGAATGCCTAATGTAAACATCATACTATTAGGGTTCTTGTGATGTTCATATTCTCTTCAAACTTAATGGGTTTCTTTATATGATTAAATCGAAGTACTAAACACACATGCATTGATTGTGTAGGAAACACAAGTATTGTAGCACTAAACACACATTTTACTTATCTTAGAGAAAATTAATGCGTCTTGAGCCACTAAACCTAGTCTTGATAGTGAACATTTTCATTAGTGTATCTAGATTTCATAACTTGAGTATCCATAAACATGAGTAGGATTGTTTAGGGTGGATTCCTAAAACCCTAGTGTTTGTCACCATATTAAGTTACACTTTGATAATCACATGTGTTGATCTTGTTAAAAATTAGAATTCGGTTACATTTAAGCATTAGAATTAGGTCACTTGAATCAAAAACACCCCTTTCCCCTTTTTGTTTGTGTTTGTTGTTTGAAACTTTGAATGTTATTTTTATTGCATAATGTACACTTTCGTAACTGGTTTTGACATTTGGTCCAAGTTTAGTTCTTCATTTTTCCATGCTGAATCCAACCATGTAAAGAACGTATAATTTGGATTAACAGTTTGAAAGTTACAAGTCAAAAACGAGACAGAGGTCGAAACTAGAAAACACAAAAGGTTCATAAATTCTTCTTTGACCTAGAAGTGTTACAGTACCCAGGTGATAAAGAAGCGTTACAATTACGATAAAGAAGTGATAAAGTGGTGATACAGGAGTGATACAAAATGCTAATTGTGTTTACCTTTGGTTTCTTGTTTTGTTTCATTTCTTTTACTTTTCTTTACTCATTTCTATTATCCAATTTGTATTTTACTTTGTGTTGTGGTAAATAAGCGTTCTTTACATACTCAAACTAGACCTTTTTATAAGCCTCCAATTCTTCATGGGAACGATTCCGTATTTACAAATTTATACTTCAATAGATTCGTACACTTGCGGGTATTTTTAAGGGTTAATGACCTAATGGTCCCCCAACTATTGCTCCAATATCATTTTGGTCACCAACTAAAATTTTCAATTCAAACGTCCTTAAACTTTTTATTTTGTACCAAGATGGTCCATCCATGACAGATTCCGTCATTTCTCATCACGCGATGACCACGTGATTGAGTTTTGAAGGATATATGCGACTTTTTGAGAAGCTATGTCGAAGGGTATGGTTGAAATGGTCCCTCAACTATTGCTCCAATATCATTTTGGTCCACCAACTAAAATTTTCATTTGAACTTTTTTTTGTATTATCAGATGGTCCTATTGTCAAAGTCCGTCAATTTTATTGTTATTTATTTTTTGTATTTATCTTATTTTAAAATTTTTAATTATTTTAAACCATAGAGAAAAAAAATATTACTTTTTAAGTCCATGTCATAAATAAATAAAAAAAGAGCCATGTTGGTGGTGAGATTCAATTTTTTTCAATTTTAAAATTAGGTACAAGTTCCTATAATAGTTTCCTTTAATTTTTAATTATTGTTTACTCTTTTAAAAAATTTGTTAATTTTTTTTATTTTATATATTTATGTGATTTTAATTAATTTAAACAATAGAGAATTATTATTATTAATTGTTAGGTCAAAAAAAAAAAAAAAAAAAAAAGTGAGATTCAATTTTTTAAAATTTCCTAATTTTTATAATAGTTTCCCTTAATTTTTAATTATATATTACTATTTTAATTCATAGAGACATTTTTACTCATTAATTTAACAATAAAATTCACAGACTTTAACAGTAGGACCATCTTGATATCCAAAAAAAAAGAGTTGAAGGACGGTTCAAATGAAAATTTTAGTTGGTTGACCAAAATGATACTAGAGCAATAGTTTGGAGACCATTTGGATCAATAACCCTTTTAGAGGAGGATATTCACCTAAAAATACAGTTTTGCCCCTCGATTTCACGGAATAATACACAAACTTTGACGGATGGACCATCTTGATACAAAATAAAAAGTTTAAGGATGTTTGAATTGAAAATTTTAGTTGGTGGATCAAAATAATACTTGAGCAATAGTTGGAGGACCATTTAGGTCATTAACCCCTTTAATTAGATAAGAAGCAAATTAATTTGTGCCAATTATTAATAACATCTCATCACCAATTTAGAGTTAGCATATATCTGAAAATTTTATGACACACAAAGGACAATATCAATCAGGCTTTTTATTTTTTTCTCTTTCTTTTCGTGGCTTAAGCTACCAGTACCTTGTGCACTTGGACAACGAAGGAAAGGAGGCTGTTAGATGGGACTTGGGAACGGAGAGAAGAGACTGACATGCACAACGCAGATCCCGGGTACTTGTTCTACCAATTTTTACATCAAGCACCTCATAGCTCTGGAACTCCTTCACTTCTTCTGTTTCTGTTTTCATTATGTGATAAGAGCTCAGCACCAATCGTATATACATATGTGATTTTTGAAACAAAAGTTATATTACAACATACTGACTGCTTCTCGCAAAGTTCAGCACCATCAATATGATGAAACAACTTCAGCTTTGTCACAGAAACTACGATTGAAACTGATATCCCAGATGAAGCCTCTTTCTAAGTCGTTGAGCGGTTTGGAGAAAACAAATAGCATTGAGGCAATCCTAGATTCCTCTCGTACCTTCACTTCTCCTGCTCTCGTTAAACCATTCCACAAATATATTGGGTGGGAAATTTGATTAATGTCTCCCAAAGCATTTGGTCAGGTTCTTGGTAACTGATAATGAGCTTTTACCAGGCCAAGTACAACACAAGTTTTAAAACTAGTATAAGTCTGATGCAAATTGATTGGTCTTCCGCCTAACTGGTTTCTAGTAGAAATTTTCTACTAGTTCCTTCCTCTTCTTCTTCTTTCACTTTCGGGTTGCAGTTTCTTTGCTTCTAATCGTTTCGTGGAGCAAAGAGCAAGCCATACAACAAGTGCTGCAACCTAGTTCTTTTCTAGATAATGCATACAGACTACTAATAAGGCTTCTTCTCCATCGAATGTGAAGATTGTCCGCAACAGGTTCGAGGATCAAGGTGACAGGTCAAAATGTGCTTCCAACAGCGAGTGAACTTCCATTAGGGAAGACACCTTGAAATCTGGTTTGAAATCGACGTTGGTGTATTCTGGAGAGTCATACCTCCCACTTTCATCAAGCAAGCATGCAACAGCTCCTGCTCGCTTCCCACAAGCCACCTGCAAAGTCAGGCAATTCTTCATAAGCATTTCCCATATTTCTACTTATATCACGGAAATCAAGATCAGACAGCGACTCAGAAATGTAACACACTGCACAGTTGCAATGCAGAAGTTCAGGTTCCTTAAATTATATGATCATCATTCTTTTCTCTCAATACAACAAGGCCCATTTATCCTGGATCACATTCTTAAAGACGTAGCAAGAACATTACAGAAAAAATACTTTGAAAAGAAGTAAAAGAAACACAAGCACTCACATCATCTTTAAGGGAATCTCCAACCATCATTATTTCACTGGGTTTAACTTCCCAAGCTGAACATATATGCAGTAGTGGAGCTGGATCCGGTTTGTAAGGTCGAAATTCCCTGCTCAGAGCTGGAGAAAATGTCAACTGCAGCAACCATAACACAGAAAATAAGATATCAAAGTCCACTACTGAGTAGAAAGGAGATGAGCCTCAAACGTACATTACAATAAGTTTACTTATGGGTTAGGCTGCAGGGCCTCAATAAGTGGGATGCATCAAATAGTAAATGCGGGATATATCTACAGACATGAAAGATTAGTAATGAGCACACAAAAGATGACTGACTTCAGCAAGGAGCCAGATCAGAGTAAGCTCATCCATGATCATTGACTACAATAACCCAAAGAATTTCAAAATTGTTTTTCCTGTTTAGATTTCACCAAGAAAATCATTGCTAGAGAAGATGGGTTGATTCAGTCAAAAAAGAAAGAAGGGATGGGGTTGATTCAGCAAGAGCAGAAAGTATAAATTGGCTATATGAGGAACCATATTTTCAGTTGTCCAAGATCATATTAGGGATTAACAAAAAACTCCTTTTGCAATTTAAGAACAGAGGAAAAATGTAACTGAGGACAAATCAGAGTTAATGCATAAAGAGGCCCTGTTATCATGTTAACATTGCAGCCAGTCAACCTTATTAGTGTATACGGTTGACAAATGTTGCTTGGAATGTTGGATTCCTTCTCCATATTTATTGCCCAAACAAAAACACATAATAACTAAACTACTGAATTGTAACGTGTTCTTAAGACAAAAGAAAATAATATGGAACAGTAATAGATGAATAACTCTTTATGTGCAACCAATGACTTGTGCATTTCAATATGCTTACCCTGAACCGTTCATGAAATATATCTACTGCGGCCTTGACATTGCGTGTGATTAACCCCCTCCTGTAAATAGTGCAAATAAAAACAATAAGCATATCGCCATAGCTTCATTCGTAAATTCAAATAAAAATTCAAAATCTTGCAAACAAAAGAAGATTAGGAGCTTCACTAGCATGCATATAAATATAGCGTACACTTCCAACCCCTAGAGATTGAACCCAGGAACTCAGGTTCCGCCCTTGTACCTAAGAGGGAGGAGGTGCCACTAATACTATTGACGTTAATTAAATAACTTTGTAACTTTTTTGCACAGATAACAACTATACTCCAAGTACATGTTGATTAGGCTTGCAATTTATACCATCTCCAGGAAAATATAATAGGGATCATGGAAAGGGATATATGGAGATCAACTTGACAACTTAAATTCCTAATCAGGACAAGGTTCACTTGTAACCCAAACATTCCTCGTCTTATCCAAGGCAGACCAACTAATCACCTTTAGCTAGTACTGATAACAACTTGATTTGGCAGAAAGTAGGACTTCCTCTAGTCAATGTTCAAAAATCACGCAGCCATTAGTTAGGCATTTATCCGTACATACAACATAAGAAGGAACGACTATTAGGGAAGATAAAAACTTGACATGGGCTGAGAATGACCTTATATTCTTAGAATCTAGAAAACCACAAAGTTCTGCTGCACCTGCACCACAATTTACCCAAATGTTAATGAACATCTGTAAAGTGATGATGGGCAAAGGAATAATGCAATCTCAAGTCATAAGTTCATGCAAAGTATAACTCAAATTCTCACGCTAATTGTGGACTAAGCACCAAAACACTCACTACAGAAGGGGAAAAAAAACACTCCCAAAGAAGCAAAAGCATTCTATTGTTCACAAAACTTAATCAAAATTCAAGATTCAAAATTTTCAATTTCATTTTTCACTTATTCACACCAAGGAATAAAAGGATACGCCACATGGAATACTTTACCCAAAAAAAGAGGTTAGATTTACAGCTGTGCTATTAGCAACATAAAGTAATTGAAACCAGAGCTACATTATATTTTTTTCCTTATCCGGCACTTTCCCGGGAACCAAACGACAGAAAGCCAAAACCAACATAGAAAAACTCTCTCACCAGGCATGATCTGGAGGCGATCGAGCCCCTGGCTCTCGTAATCGGCAATAATATCATACGCCTTTCGCTGCTTCTCGGGGCTCCAAGTCTCAATGTGGTGCAATATATCAATCCCAGAAGGGCTCTCGGCCTTGATTCTGACGTACTCGTCCTCGCCGAGCACAGCTCTGTACATTGCCGCGAAATCGATGACGGGGACCGTTAGGGTTCCGTCCATGTCGAACACCACGCCTCGGAGGCGAGCCCTGGGCGGGGCTGCGGAGCTGAGGGTGGAGAGATTGCCGGCCATGGGTATTTTGGGGATTTTCAATTTTGGGTACAAGAGGAGGAGTGTTCTGGGTAGGAGCAGGGACATTGGGTTTGAGTATTTGGGTTATTTGAAGGGAGTGATTGGATTTTGGGTATAAGGGAGTGATTGGATTTCAGAAGTGAAATTGGTAAAACTTTTAGAAGTGTGAGTGACACTTGGAGAAGTCCAATTTTCCTGTTACCAAATCCCCGATGCCCCCCTATTTCCTCCTTGATATTGTGACACGTGGCACACCACTTAACGGCATTTTAACTCTGTTAACTCTCTTTAGCCCAATTGTTTTTATTAAAATAATTAAAAACTATTAAAATACAAGTTTGACACAAAAGCGATATTGCATCTTCATCTTCCATCTTATAATTATTTGTTTAAGCGTTTCTCATATGAAAGCTCCAAAATCAGAAGTCAAAAAGAGGGAGAAAAATTATGAAGCAGAACCTGGCTTTCCTTACAAACCAGCATCCAACGAGCAAACAAAATTATCGAACCAAATGCAAGGGTTGAGTCATGATACGCAGGGTAGAAGATGAAGAGGAGAGAGAACGTGTTTGCCTCAAACTTGTTTTTTAATTAATTTTTTTTAAATAAAAAAAAATGGGCTGAAGAGTTAACAGTGTTAAAATGTTGTTAAATGATGTGCCACATGTCACAATATCAAAGAGGAAACAGGGGGCATAGAGAATTTAGTAACAGGAAAATTGGACTTCACTTGGAGAGCCTCTTCTTGGGTAATGTTTTGTTTGGTTGCTGGGAAAATTGGAGAGAAAATGAGGAGGGTCAATACATGCGTTTATAAATTTGTAGACATTTCCGGGAAAATATCAAATTTGTGCTTGGCCATTAGTGGTCTGTGATTTGTTGATCAATCTTGTAGCTTTTCATAAATATAGTGAACCATTGCAGACCAATCATACTATTTACGTACAGTCCTTTGTGCACGCGTTTGATTTGAAAATCTTTTCATGTCGTTGGCCGCATCATGGGGCCAATTTTGGGGATTGAAAGGGAAAGCATAACCCTCATGAACTGGTCTGGTTTTCTTACTTTGCACCATTGTTCACACATGTTCTTACTTTCCACGTTTAAAATGGGCTATTTTGGACTGACTTGATTTTGCATTGTCATTTTAAGCATCCCAATTATTTGTCAATAATTCATGAATTTTGTTGATTTGGAGACGTCCGATCAAATTGAAATGATACAAAGAATATTAACATGGCCTATTACGCAAGGATGTCACTCAAGTATACTATTTATATGTTCCCTCCAAATTGGATAGAGTTTGGACAAGAGTTTTTTTTATTTTTTATTTTGGTGCCAGAGTTAAGAAGGAGGTGGGGATTTTCTCAAACACGCACTATCAATGTGTGACGAGGGTTCGAACCTGAGACCATTGATCTGCAAGTCAAGGTCTACTCGGCTAGACCCCTATTGTTTGTTGAAGCTAAGTTTTATGTCTTCTTTTTTTTCTTTCCAGAATTTAAAGTTGAGAAAAAGGTTTACAAAAGGATTGGAGATGCTCTAATAAGTATTTCAAGCTTTCATATCATGGATCTTAACCCATGAGCTTCCTCGACGGATACCAACACATATGTGTGACGTTTTAAGATTTATGATTGTCATACCAAAATAAATAAAATTTGCCTAAACAGATGCATTGATCAACAGATTATATCCCAAGCTGCAAGCCCACCCAATCAATACTGGGTGAAAAATCAATGGTTCCGACATATTCTTAACCATTTGGGTGTGCTGGAAGATTACATTTGCACACCCAACTAGTGGAGATCGCCTTGCCAGCATGTGTCTACAGAGAATTTGGGCTTCTGTACTCTTTTGAGCCCCTTAAGGAGAGCCCCTTAATCTTTGTTGCCTTCTTCGGCCTCAAGAAAAAGAAAATAGAATAAGGACTCTCTACGATTTTTTATGGGTGATGACTTTCCCACTCTCTTTTTGATCATTTACACTTCCTTTTGTTTTTTAATAGTTTTTACTATAACAAAAAAAGAAGTGTACGTGGACAAAAAAGGAATGGGAACACACAATTTCTAACCAAGAGAGTGTAAGTGGACAAAAGAGGAGTGAGGAAATTATGTTTTTTTTAATCATAATTTGAAGTACAAAATGGAGGTACTATTATCATGTATGTGTGGATATGACAACAATTTGATTTTCTTCATATATCTCGTTTGATAACCATTTTAATTTTAGTTTTTAATTTTCGTGTGTTAGAGCATAAAGGAAAATGAGAGTGAGAATAGGAGTAAGGATGAGATTGAGAGAGAAGATGAGAAGGGAGGAGTAACAAAGTGAAAACATTTTCAAATAGATTTCAGTTTTTAGTTTTTGTTTTCACTTTTGTTACTCATTCCTTCTATCTTCCCCTGTCATCTTCAGTCTCATTCTCACTTTCATTTTCCCTCTTTTTTCTCTATACTCTATCACAAAAAATATAAACTAAAAACTAAAATTGAAATGATTATCAAATAGACCCTTAATTTCTCTAGTTTTCAAATCATGTATCTAAGACTGCCACGTTAAATAATAAATTAAATTCGGTGAATATATTTGGTGTGTTAAGCAGCACTTTTACATATAAGCTATCAAGTCAACTGATTTCTTAATGAGGCCAAACTACAACCTACTTTGCCAGTTGACATTACAAACGCAAAAGGAAGCTCGACTTCAAGACCCATGCACCTCTTGAAAAACTCCAACGACCTTCAAAATCTGAGTTTAATCCATAACACAAATATTTGTTCTGTTTAATTGTAAACATAGGTTTTCTTTCTACTTCTTTTTTTTTCCTTTTTTTATGTACAAGCGATTAAGAGAGGGGAGCTTACACAAATATTCAATAGGTGTCTGGAGATTTCGAATATCTGTCTACATGGGTGGAGATGCCAACTAAGCTATACGTACCCCACTAGCCAATACAAGTTTTCCTTTTTACTTCAACGAAGACGCAATTATCTGCACATTGTCTATCAAGGCCTACAAGCAGGTTTTGAAGGTTAATTAGTAGATTCTTCTTGTTTTTGTTGATTAATTTAATAAGAGTTGGTTTATAAGCAGTTGACATTTGACCTGCTAAACATATATGTGTGTGTGTGACATAATTAGCCATGAGCGAGCAGCCAAACACAGATCCTACAGATTGTGATTGATGCACAGTTGACAATTGAAATGTTGAATATATGCAGCTCTATATGCATGACGTGATGTATTTCTTAAATATAGAATGCATCGAGAAAACACCACTTCTACTTAAATTTTTTCAACTTTGATGTCATTTATTGACATAGTTAATTGTTTTACAATGTAAAAATGTTGAGTAAAAACTGAAATATGAACTTTGAGGTACGATTTGAATCGTAGGAGACAAATAACACTTTAAGGAAACGATTCAAATCGTACCTCGAAGTCTTTCTATTTTAGTTTTTACTCAACAAGAAATCCTCATTTAGAATTATAGTTGCAAGCCTCGGATTGGTTAATCGCTTCACTTTTAGGTTTTGAGTGTTAGATTTCGAGAATAACCAATTTACCATTAAATGAAATCAAAGTTAAAGAAAATTGAATAGAAATGACGTTATTATCTTGATCACGAGAGTTTCTATAAATATGTACATACGTAAGTGTGACATAACTCTGAGCTCGCTGAACATATTTTGCTTACTCCCAGTTGCATTAAGTCGTTGCATGACTTTGTCATAAACCGTGAATGACATATTTACTTGACAGACATACATCAATAATGTATAGCAATTCGCAGGTAATTCATGGTTTGGCTGCTATGGATTGTTTATATCAAATAGAAAGCAAAAAAAATTAAAAAATAAAATAAAATTCAGAACTTTCCTCATGGAGCTAAAAACTATCCCTTTTCTTGTTTATACAATAAAGCAACTCAAAGTTGGTTTCTTTTTTACGTTTATGTCTTTTTCATTTCTCCATTTGTTAATTGAATATTATCCTCGAATTTTCTCTTGATGTACGGATTCAAACCTTTTTAAAAATAAATAAATAAATTGCTTGATGTTAGGGGTTACTTTCAACTCTTTTTGTCATTTATTTCTTTTTTTTTGCTGGACTTTTAAAAACTTCAAAAAAGAAAGTCTCCTTTGAAAAGATACTAGAGAAAAAGATAAAAAAAAAGAAGAAGATGCAAAGCAGCTACATTATCATATCTTGTTGATTGGTCAGCATTCCTAAAAGTAAACAAGCGATGCACCATTTTTCTTCTTCTTATTAATGTGTGAAGGAGAATCTAAATTTGTGACATCTTAAGAGAAAATAACATTAAAAGGCTAATTGGTAATGCACAATTAAAGTAGTAGGGTTGACAATTTCATTATTAAACCATAAGAGAGAAAATCCTGAGAGAGAAGTTTTAGTCGCTTCCCGGTCGTCTTCATCCCTCTCCTCTTCCCCTCCTTACCCTCCTAGACTTTCCCCTCCCTTCTCCACCTCTGCTCCTTGCCCATCCCCTCAAGGCCTTTCGTCTTGTCTGAGTTTGGTAGTTGATTGGTTGATCTTGGTGATGACGTGATTGTAGATCGAATTTTATTTCTACTTATGAGAGTTAAAAAAGTTATAATTGCCATTGTAGTTTGGTGCATTGAGGTATATGTATGATTTATTCAGGCTTGCTGCTTTTTTGCCGGAATTTATTAGGCCCTATGTGGCTATGAGTGGAGGTACACCTTGTGCGCTTGTTATTGATAGTGGAGTCTTTTACATTATTTGGATTAACCCTTTATGGTTATTGTGCTTCTATAGTTGTATTAACCCATGTGGTTATTTGTATTTATATTGGTCCTTATAACTAATGCCCTTTATGCCTAATTATAAATACAATTTATCGTCTTTCTCTAGAAAAACATAAGTTGGGCTACTAAACCAACCGTAGCCTAGCCAATTCAAATTGTAATTAAAAAATCTTGTCCTTTAAATCATAGCCATCGTACGGAGACCAA